TGTGCGCCCTCTGCTGGACACAGTGAGAAGGACACAGTGATTCTGTTTAAATCATTTTTATATCTTTAAGTTATTATTTGAGTTAATTGATTTGATTTCTTGAAGTTGTTTTTCTTGCAGTCATGTAAATGGTGCATCTTCTGTTTTTTTTTTCTATTTTAATGACGTCCATATTCGCATCCATATGCAGGTTTGAAGGATCCATGCAGGCGGCTGCAGCAGCGTTATTATTATCATAAAACCTTAAAACATGTTTAACTCTATGATGAAACTCTATGCTCCATTATTTAAGTGTTCAACATGTCAGGGATCAATGCAACAGTTTCCTGAGCTGCTTGGTGTTCATGATGCTAAGCTAATCCAGCTAACAGCAGACACTTTGCTTTCTCATAAAGCAAAGGAAATGATTGCTTTAAACTTAGACAGAAATAATAAATATAGATATGGCGTGAATTTTGAAAAAAGTCAGAATTTAAGAAAAAAAGAAAATAATAAAAAAAACATTCTTAATAAAAAAAAGGTTCAAAAGTAAAAGTGAATCTGCTCTCTCAGATTAACTTTTTAAACATATATAGCTATATTTGTTTCAGATTATATTTTTTAAATCTCATTTTATGCGTTATTTTTAATATATTTTAGTATTTCATTTTATTTCTCCGATTGAATCCATTATTCTTCTTTTCATGTTTCCTTTCATAGATTAAATTCTCTTCATTTTAAGCCAAACTTGTACGAGAAAATGTTTTTGCTGAAACCATGCAGACCAATAGACACGCACTGATTGATTGATTGATTGATTGATTGACTGATTGATTGATTGATTGATTGATTGATTGATCGATCGATTGATTGATTGATTGATTGATTGATTGATTGATTGACTGATTGATTGATTGATTGATTGATTGATTGATTGATTGATTGATTGATTGATTGATTGATTGATTGATTGATTGATTGACTGATTGATTGACTGATTAAATCAGCTGAAATAGTCAAAGGTGAAAGAGAAGAAGGTGCATGGGATATATATGCAGTACATGCAGTGCATCCAAACATATATTTATAGATATATATCTATATATAAATATATATATAGATATATATATATATATATATATATATATATATATATATATATATATATATATATATATATATATATATATATAGATAGATAGATAGATAGATGTATATCTATCTATATATATTTCACATCAGTTATTATATTATTTCACAGCAATAAAAAGATAAAAATCCTATCAGATTTATAGTCCCCACCCTGCAGATCTATTAGAATCTGTCCTTAAATTCCAGCCAAACCCATTTACACAGTAACAGATAAAAACCTTTAGATAAATCAAACATTACCGCCACATATCTGACTCTATAACCATTAAAACAACTATTTTTATTCATTTCAGACGGAACTATTCACTGACTGGATTATATTAAACTGAACTTCCAATTTTCACCACTGTTCGGCGCCAAGTAACCTTTCCTCTGATCACAGCTTGCTTGGTCTTGCAATGAATCCTGGGATATCCAAGGATACCGAGGATACATCAGACCCGTCCTTTAAATTTTGCAAAAAAAGGACGCATTTTAAGGTCGCATAACGAGGACTCTTGGAATCCGACCAGACCTCGGTGCCGCGCTATGACATCATCGTCGTTTGAATCTGGCCTTCTGAGGACGCATCCCATGAATTCGAACATGGCCTTAGTTTACCTTTGATTGGTTTTTGATAAAACATCTATGTTTAATTTATAGCGCCCCCTGGAGAAAACTCCACCAGCCGCCGCTGCCCTAACGTCTAATTGCTCCTGTTGGTTCTACATCATTTCTAAAATTTTCCTTCCACTAAACTTTCCAATAAAGTTGTTTTTGCTGCAGCATCCTTAACATCCATGTTTGGTTAGTTAGTTTGGATTTTTTTTTAACAAAGGCTTTTTAGGTAGCCTGTGATTGGCTAGGACACAATTTCAAAATGTCTGTAATAGAATCTGTTTTATTTTTCTGATGTCATTTTCTAACTTCCTTTTCATACCATTTGTTATTTATACATCAGATCTTAATCTAAACTTCATATTTAAATAAGATGAAATTCTTAAAACTCCTTAAATAAGTGAAGTCAATAATGAGAAGGAAAACACTGCCCTCTGCTGGAGAGCGTCTGTCGATGCGTTCAAAGCCTCCTCGGTCATCGGAAGCTTTAGGTGATGCGTTCAAATGTCGGAAAGTTAACTTTTCATTGTTAACCGTTAGATGTTAAGCATTAGGACAATTTATCTGTTAATTATTGTTATCTAATCTGTCCTTAATTGTAGAATTTTTTTAATGTTTAGTTTCTCGCTCCGTCATTAGAAGAGCGAGTTACAGTATTTATGGACGTTAAATATAAAAAAACTGTTGAAAGGGAAGAAGATTTATCATTTTGATAACAAATTTTTATTCTGTTTAGTTATTTGTGGTTAATAATAATTTAATTACCTTTATGTCACTGCAATTTACTTTCTTATTTTTTTACAGCTCTTTCAAATGTCCTGATACTGAAATGTTTTCTTTTATATATAAATAAACTTCCCTTTTCCAATTTTACAAATACCTTTATTTTATTTTACTTTTTTTATATTTTTAGTATTTTAATTGTCTTTTTCGTGAATTCAGAATTCTGATGTACGGCTAAAGTTACAGACTTAAGATAAACCAGACCTTTTTATATTTTATATTACATCTGTGCGACATGGCTAAGCTAACCAGGGCATCACTGAGATGGGGCGACTGCTTCACATAAAGCAAGAAAGAAAACAGGACCACACACTGGACGGCTAAAGAAGGTCTGGATGCTGAAGTTTGGCAAAAAATACTGTTTATTTTTATTGAGATCTTTCATTGTCCCTGTTTGAAATCTATAATATAATGACTGGTTTAATTTGACCCCCCCTTCAATACAGACTCTTTATCTCACAGTCCATCATTTAAAAAAAACAAACATTTTATTTGTGAAAACACAGATTTTTTTTTTTATGTGGTGTTTTCAACTTTAGATTTTTATAGAATGCACATAGAACCAGGATTATAGCATCTCGAGTTAAATATTTTACTTTTATTGAGAAAATACCAAAGTGAAAGCAGAATAAAATATAATCCTCATTTACTGTCTGTTTAAAAACTACAACAACCTGCTAAATGTTTTTTTCTGATATATTAAAGAAACACTATATTTGCTATATTTAAATTATACACAAATAAACAGATGAAAGGTAAAACATTTTTAAATAATCCAACAGAAAGATAAACGTTTTGTTTTTTTTCCCTCTAATTTTATTGGATCAAGGGAGCCGCAGTTGGTGCTGACACTGTATATTCTGAGGTGTAATTGAACGCAGCACTGTCATGGCGTCTCCCATGAAGGGGGCCTGCTAGCAGGGACTGGAGCCGCCGCCTTCCGCTGTCTGTCGGTGAACCGAAGCTTTTCTGCTCGCTGGAGGTTTAGTGGAGCTGCTGCTCAACATGGGGGCCGTTCATGCGAAGGTAGGCGGCCGGAGCCCCCCCACTCTGCCCAGTGAGACGTTCACTGACTTGACCTCCCTGCTCACCGCTCCGAGATTAACAGAGAAATAAACTAGATTTATGTGATAGAAAAATCAACTAGATTTATGTGATAGAAAAATAAACTAGATTTATGTCGCTTCTTGTTTTTTCTGTTTTAAAGCTGCGTTCAATGGACCAACGTACTGATGCGTTTACGGACTGTAAGTTATTTAAAATGCACCGTTTTCCCTTAAATTAGGAAATAAAAGCAGGATGAATTAGAAATGAGAATTGATGGGTTTTATTTAGCAGCATCAGCAGATAGAATCCATTTAATTTGTTCAACTTTAACAACTTTATGGTTTATAAATGTTCCAGCTGACTGAATAACCTTCAGCTCCTCTAAGCCCCGCCCCCCTCTGCTGTCCCATTAAGGCTCATTAAACATTTTTGCTTTAAAATCTGTGGCTTTAACTTCTCTTTGGAAATGTTCAGTCATACATTTTTTCTCAGTGTTTTAGTATTTTTTAATAAAACAAACTAATTTAATATTTTTTATTACAGATAAAGAGAAACGAAGGTTTCTCAAACATCAGACATTAGCATCAGTTTTCTTTTTTTTTTAATCTTTCCCTCTCAAACAGACTTAGTGTTTCCTTTGTTCTCTGCTTGACTAGTTTCTAGTTCAGAGAACCCAGTTACAGCTGATCTCTGTTGTCCTTCCTAACTTTTTTCCTTCCACTCAACTTTCCCCTGAGCGCCGCTAACATCGGTCTGTGGAGAAACTTTGAAACGTTTGGATTAAAATCTGTTTTCTGTAGCGATGCTGAGATGAAGCCTCGTTGAACCGTTTTGGGCTGATTGCTTCGTCGATCCTCACGGTTCATCAAGCTTCATGTGAACATGTCACCACCTACTGGTGGAGAGCAGAACTACAGTTAGGAATAAAATCTGGGATTTTTTTCTTGCTTTTCTTTCCCGTTTAAGTTCCTTTGAAATTGTTAATGATTGGTGTGGATAATAAAACCTTCTGTAAGTTTCTTTTAGTGTAAAATGTCTTAAAAGAGAACAATTACTGAAGGTTCATTGTTTTTCTGCCATTTTAGAGAAATAAGCTCAATCAGACGGTGAGTTTGTGCAAATTGGGCAATGATGAGAAAATTAAAGGTTTTAGTCGTTTTATTCAAACCGTTCTTCTACATTTTTTGAGTTTAATCTTGTTGGACATTATGTGTTCAACCAATCTAAGTTGGTAGAGTTTTATATTTTTACCAGTGGCTAATCTAGCCTAGTAAACTAGCCCCGCCCACCAGCGGCCAGGATCATGTTTGCCTGCAGTGGCGCAGCCGCCATCAATGCCTCAGGCCCTAGAACTGGCGGGCCAATCACAGCGCAGAGATGTGTTTAGAATGTCTGGATGCAAAGTGGGCTACGCACAGCAGGGACACGAGCCGCCGTTAAAGCTGCAGGACGCCGCTGTGCCGCAGCCGTGTCTCAGAGTAACTAATTATCTAATTAATAATTAATATTATTGCAACTTTCAAAAGTCTGAGGTGGGCGTGGAACCAGGGGCGTTGCTAGGCACAAAGCTTTACTGGGGCACTGGCCCCCTACCGCATATGCCCCTCCTGCCATACACAAATACAGACAAGCACACTGCCCCACCCTGATAAATTCCTACCAAAATTACCAGTTGAGATATTAATGAGTGTAAGAGCATATTTGTTTTAACAGACATGAACATTTTCAACATTGCAGCTATAAAAAATAAGACATCAACAACTTTGACAAATAAAAAGTTTCCTTATACACATTCTGAAGTAATCATTAATTCCTAGGTTTCAGAGTTTTAGTTCGGGGGAAAGTTTAACTCATCCTGAACTAAGTTTTTATTTTATTTTTTGATCATTAAAGTGTACCTCCTATTTTTTTATTTTTGCAAAGCGGTCAATCACTTGTGACTCAGCTTAGAAAGTTCTTCCTTTTCAACTGATAAAATAGCAGGATGATGGAGGCTGTCTGGTCCCATTGTGCACCTCATCCAAGTGTGGATCCTTCTCAACACACTGAATGACCTTTCACACCTCCAGCTGTAGACTGGGATTGTGAGGGAGATCTGGATGACCTGCGTTAGTGTGGGGAACACGATGTTATCAAGCAAGTTGAAAACGCACTGCATATCCTTCATGACAAGGCTTTCTTTTTCAACCATAAAAAGCTCAAACCATTTTGAATTAAATGAACGTTTTTTTTACTCCAACTTTGTCCTGGGGTTAGTGGGACAACTTCACTTGTTTAGGACCATCATGCTTTCCCCCTAAGTCACTAATGTCCCCTTCTTGTTTGTGGACGCTGGTTGTTGCTCCCTCATCACCTTCATGGTCCTGTCTCTCCTGTCCTTCACCTGTCTCTCCTGTCTCTTGCCTGTCAGTCTCTCCTCCTCCTCCCTTTCCTACTCCAGCACCTTCATTCTCATTCTCTACAGCAAACATTAAAAAAACGTAAATCTATAATTATGTAAATATCTATCATATTGCTTATAACGTCCCTAATGTAACTGCTTAGCTTAAATCACTAATTCATCTCGGGCTCTTACCTCCCTCTCTCATCTTGTTTTACTGCTTCCCTGTCTCTGCTTCGTGTGAGGAATTTCCTGATATCCATCTACAAACCAATGCAGTAATTTTCAGTTAGTAGCCTATAAATCATGTGGTTTCACTGGGAAAATAATGAAATTGACGGGTAAGAAACGTTACCAGAACTAAAAATGCGTTGCGGCCGCACAGTGTCCCATCCAACTCAGCTGAGAGCAGCGCGTTAATTTACCTGCAGTTCATTCAGTGACATGCGCTGACGTGGGGGCGCTAATTCATCCTCAACTTGGAGTAAACAACACACTTGCTACGCATTTGAGTAGAAATGTACGTCTCCTCCCGTTGGAATATCTAAATTGATGCATTAAAAAAATTTATCACTGTTGCAAATATTCATGAGATTTATACTGGGGCACGTGCCCCAGTAAATGGGGTCTGGCGACGCCGATGCGTGGAACCAACAACCACAGGAGTGGAAGTAGCGGACGCCACCAGGAACGGTAACTGCCCATAAGAAAGCAAAACTAGTTAACGCTAAAGTTAGATCAGTAACCAGCGGTTTGCTGATGGTTTAATCCACCCAAACTAGATGTGTTGTTCATCCAGCCAATCTATGCTCAGAATCTATCCAGCTGCAGCAGCTCCCACATCTCCACTGAGTCCTGAGGCTGTTTAGTTTCCACGCTTCCTGAAACGGTCACATGGTTCCACGGTAGAAAGGCTTCGGACGTCATCAATTTTAGCCCCTCCCCTAAATGAGTCACGCCTCGACACGCGCTTTAGGGAAACGCCCCCTCCATTACTGGAAGCCTCGCTCATCTCATGACATCACTAGTTTTCATCATAGTCCAATAAATCTATTTTAGATCTAATTTAAATTTATTGTTAATTTATTCAGACGCTAAAGATGAACGCCACAGAAGCTAAAGTCTAGAACGAGTCCCTGCAGAATAAAACCGAAGCAAGATTCATCAGTTTAAAAAGATCAACTCTTTGATGTTTGCTAACTGCTTTGATCTGGTTGCAGAGTCTGGATCCGCTCCCGATGCACGGCCGCCATCTTGGCCTCAACCCCGATGACCTGATGGAGCCTCCGGAGCCGGAGACCGAGTCCAAACAGGAAGTCCTGGAAAACAAAGATGTGAGCAGCTGCGTACTGCCGAGCCGCTGGGCTTCATGAACGCCACGTGAACGCCACGCCACATTAACGCCATGCCACATTAACGCCATCCTCCATCTTTAGACACATGCCCCCCAAAAAAGTTGTTGATGTTAAAATGATGCAGAGCTTCAGGTTTTATTTAATAACACAGAAAAAAAAATTACAACAAAAGGAAAAAACAATTGTGGGATTTTTTTTTTTTTCTTAAATTTCTATGGAGTAAACTTTGTTCCATTATTGTTACAAGCAAAAAACATGGTTTATTTAAAAAAAAGAAAAAAAATGCAATCCAGAAATAAAACTTTGGAAAAAGTTTTAATTATAATATATATACGTTTTCAAATTAATCTTTTTCCAATTGCATTTTCAAGATTAGGTTGTCTTCATTTCTGGGGGCGGGGCATCAACAATGCCTTTCCATTGTTCTGCTGGACGGTAGCAACTTTTTAACTGGTCTAGAGGGAACGTCGGGATTAGGCTGGAAGTGAAGAGAAGCGGATCTGGAAATTTAATTTCTAAAAGTTGATTTAAAAAAAAAAAAAAGGTTATAAAAAATCTTTCTTTTTACAAAATCTGAAAAAAAGCTATTTTATTAGCAAAGTTTGAAAAATAAATATAGATTCATATCAATATCTATTTTTTTTATCCAATTTCTCATAAAATATGTTCTTTTCTAGTAAAAATGTAACAAAATGTCCTCCATAGCGCCCCCGGTGGCCCCCTCCTGTTCTGCTCGATGCTAACATGTTAAAAGTTGAACCAATCAGAGCGTCTAAACTGTCTAAACGGCCAATAATCACCTTTCATGGCAGGTTGTCGTCCAACACGTCAACATCCAAGGTTTAGGCAGAACCAAGGAAGACCTGCTGGGATACGAGATCTCCGATGTTTTCCACGCCAAGAATCTCATCGACGTACGTTCCTCCCTGCGCCGCGCGTCCCGTTTAATCCGTGTGCCCGTCAGAGAGTGAACGGCCATTTTGTTTCAGGTGATGAAGAGATCTCACGTGGCCAGGCTGAGGCTGCTCCGCCTGGGCATCTTCAAAGAGGTGGAGGTCCTCATCGACACATCAGAAGGTAACCGCGCCGCGCCGCTCGCTTAGAGCCGCCTGCTGCTCGCCGGACTCAACCAACCAGCTGTGACTGCTTCTCCCTCAGGGAAAGACGCTCTGCCCAACGGCCTCGATGTGACCTTCGAGGTGACGGAGATCAAGAGGCTGACGGGAAGCTACAACACCATGGTCGGCAACAACGAAGGAAGCATGGTGAGAAACGCGCCGCCGCCGCCGGCACACCCAGGAGGCCGCCGCTGATGGCCGCCCATCTTCTGCCGTGTCCTTCAGGTTCTGGGGCTAAAGCTGCCTAACGTGTTCGGCCGCGCCGAGAAGCTGACCTTCCAGTTCTCCTACGGGACCAAGGAGACGTCCTACGGCCTGTCCTTCTTCAAGCCGCAGCCCGGCTACTTCGAACGCAAGTACGTGACATCATTCCTGAACAGCTATGATGTCATCCTTCTGAGGATTTCTAACATCTCTGTGTCCTTCAGCCTGACTCTGAACCTGTATAAAGTTACGGGTCAGTTTCCCTGGAGCTCCCTGAAGGAGACGGACAGAGGCGTGTCTGCAGAGCTGAACGTACGGCGCCGCTTCTCCATCCCTGCAGGTCCCACCCTAACGGCGGCGCCCGCTGACCCGCCTCTTTTCCTGGTCTTTGCAGTTTCCTGTGGGCGTGACGAGCCACACGCTGAAGTGGGAGGGGGTGTGGAGGGAGCTGGGCTGCCTGGCACGCAGCGCCTCCTTCGCAGTGCGGGAGGAGAGCGGACACTCGCTGAAATCTGCCCTCTCAGTAACGTCCTTTCCTGGTTTTACCGTGAGACGCGGCGCCGATCTCTAGAATAACAGAGACGCTGTGTTTTGTCTGCAGCACTCCATGGCCATCGATTCCAGGAACTCCGCCATCTTTCCCAGCAGAGGAGCCTTACTTCGCATCAACCAGGTCAGTCTGTAAAATATCCGTTTTTATTTTATCCATCAAAGATGGTGGATAAGGTGCTACGCGCAGCAGGGACACGAGCCGCCGTTAAAGCTGCAGGACGCCGCTGTGCCGCAGCCGGGTCTCAGTGTAACATTCATCAGACCAAGTCTGTTCGCTCATCGAGCCTCTGACTCAGCAAAACGCAAAGTTCTGCTGAGTCGCTCCTGAAGGCGCCTCTAAAGGCCAGAAATGGAAGCCATGCGGAAAACTAGCGGCTGTTCAGGGGAGGGACGGCCGAGTGCTTAGATTATTATTATTATTATTATTATTATTATTATTATTGTGGGACAATAAAGACGTTTTTATTCTTTAAATATCCTTCATTCCATCCTGAGACGTTGTTCTCTGAAAATTGAATCAGAGAAATCCGGTCGCCATGGTAACCGAATCAAAACAAAACGATGCTTTATTCTCCTAAAATACTGAAAGATCAAAGCCACCAACGCTGCGCTGAAGACTGAGATTCATTTTAATCTTTTCTTTTTCTCCCGTCTGGCAGGAAGTGGCGGGATACTCGGGGGGAGACGCTCGATTCCTGAAGGAGGATTTTGAGATCCAGCTCAACAGAAAACTTTTCTGGGACTCGGTGGGAAAGAAACGAGCAGGAATGGGATTCACCTAGCCACCAGAGGGCGCTGTTAACCTCTTTGTCATTCCAGGTGTTCTCTGCTTCTCTGTGGGGGGGGATGCTCTATCCCCTCGCCGGCCAGCCTTCCTGCATCGCTGACAGGTAACCCTGCCAGGATATTTCATTGTCAGACTGTTGAGGTGTTGCAGCGTGAGCAAAGCGTTGGTCTGTGTCCAGGTTCTACCTGGGGGGCCCCACCAGCGTGCGGGGGTTTGGGATGTACAGCATCGGTCCTCAGAGTGAAGGTAAAACCAGAGCGCAGCGTGACGGCGGCGTCCTGACCGCAGCGTCCTAAAGCCGCCTGTTTGGGTTCCAGGTGACTATCTGGGGGGGGAGGCCTACTGGGCAGGTGGTCTGCACCTCTACACCCCCCTACCCTTCAGGCCCGGGAGGGGCGGCTTCGGAGACCTTTTCAGGACACACTTCTTCCTCAATGCCGGGAACCTGTGCAACCTCAACTACGGTGGGTGGGGGAACGGGTGGGGGGGGATGGGGGGATGGGGGGGGGGACGGCGGGGTGGGGGGGTCTGTTTGCACAGATAAGGAAATCCTTCTGATGTCGTTTGTTTCTGCTTCTTATCTGCTGCTTGTTTGCTTCTACTGTGAACCGACAGCCTGTCTTCATGTCTTCATGTCTTCCTGTCTTCCTGTCTTCCTGTCTTCATGTCTTCATGTCTTCATGTCTTCATGTCTTCATGTCTTCATGTCTTCCTGTCTTCATGTCTTCATGTCTTCATGTCTTCATGTCTTCATGTCTTCATGTCTTCATGTCTTCATGTCTTCCTGTCTTCCTGTCTTCATGTCTTCATGTCTTCATGTCTTCATGTCTTCCTGTCTTCCTGTCTTCATGTCTTCCTGTCTTCCTGTCTTCCTGTCTTCCTGTCTTCCTGTCTTCCTGTCTTCATGTCTTCATGTCTTCATGTCTTCATGTCTTCATGTCTTCATGTCTTCATGTCTTCATGTCTTCCTGTCTTCATGTCTTCATGTCTTCATGTCTTCATGTCTTCCTGTCTTCATGTCTTCATGTCTTCATGTCTTCCTGTCTTCATGTCTTCCTGTCTTCATGTCTTCATGTCTTCATGTCTTCATGTCTTCCTGTCTTCCTGTCTTCATGTCTTCCTGTCTTCCTGTCTTCCTGTCTTCATGTCTTCATGTCTTCATGTCTTCATGTCTTCATGTCTTCCTGTCTTCATGTCTTCATGTCTTCCTGTCTTCATGTCTTCATGTCTTCATGTCTTCATGTCTTCCTGTCTTCATGTCTTCATGTCTTCCTGTCTTCATGTCTTCATGTCTTCATGTCTTCATGTCTTCCTGTCTTCATGTCTTCATGTCTTCATGTCTTCCTGTCTTCCTGTCTTCCTGTCTTCATGTCTTCCTGTCTTCATGTCTTCCTGTCTTCATGTCTTCATGTCTTCCTGTCTTCCTGTCTTCCTGTCTTCCTGTCTTCCTGTCTTCATGTCTTCCTGTCTTCCTGTCTTCATGTCTTCATGTCTTCATGTCTTCCTGTCTTCATGTCTTCATGTCTTCATGTCTTCATGTCTTCCTGTCTTCCTGTCTTCATGTCTTCATGTCTTCATGTCTTCCTGTCTTCCTGTCTTCATGTCTTCCTGTCTTCATGTCTTCATGTCTTCCTGTCTTCATGTCTTCATGTCTTCCTGTCTTCATGTCTTCATGTCTTCCTGTCTTCATGTCTTCATGTCTTCCTGTCTTCCTGTCTTCCTGTCTTCATGTCTTCATGTCTTCATGTCTTCATGTCTTCCTGTCTTCATGTCTTCCTGTCTTCATGTCTTCATGTCTTCATGTCTTCATGTCTTCCTGTCTTCCTGTCTTCCTGTCTTCCTGTCTTCATGTCTTCCTGTCTTCCTGTCTTCATGTCTTCATGTCTTCATGTCTTCCTGTCTTCATGTCTTCATGTCTTCATGTCTTCCTGTCTTCCTGTCTTCCTGTCTTCCTGTCTTCCTGTCTTCCTGTCTTCCTGTCTTCATGTCTTCATGTCTTCATGTCTTCATGTCTTCATGTCTTCCTGTCTTCCTGTCTTCATGTCTTCATGTCTTCCTGTCTTCATGTCTTCATGTCTTCATGTCTTCCTGTCTTCCTGTCTTCCTGTCTTCCTGTCTTCCTGTCTTCCTGTCTTCCTGTCTTCCTGTCTTCATGTCTTCATGTCTTCATGTCTTCCTGTCTTCCTGTCTTCCTGTCTTCATGTCTTCATGTCTTCCTGTCTTCATGTTTAATCCCTAAACTTTCACATAGTTTCATTCAATGAAAGACAGGAAACAGAAAAGCTTTTTGTTCTACGGAGTGAATTCTGATCCATTATTGATACAAGTTAACAGCGGCTTTTAAAATTTAAAGATTTTAGGAAGAAAAACATTTTGTTAAACTTTTAACAAAACTTTTAAATTTGCTGTTTTCTCAGATTTTATGTTTTCATGTTTTATTTTTTCTAATTTTCCTCAAATAATGACTGATGTTATTAGATGTTTGTTTGCTGGGATGTAGATTATAATAATTATCAGAGTTTCAAATTTCCACCAAACTTTATTATTCTGCTAAAATTAACGAACGCGGTTTGCTTCTCTTAAAGGAGGAGGTTCTATTTCCGGGTGGATCATCTCAATCAGTGGTCCTCCTAACTGTCAATCATTCAGGGGATGTGTTTGTCAGGCCGTCCAATGAGCTCGTCCGTTAGCCGTATGCTTGTTCTGTGGTTGGCTACGGTTTCAGTCCTTGAAGCTCGCCTTTCTAACCGCCATTTTTTGAAAATGGCCGAAGGTCAGAAGAGTTTCTATGAAGCGGATGAGAAGAAAGAAAGCGGAGCAGAGAGTTTTTGGGAGGACGTTTGATGGCGTCCACTGAAAGCGCAGGTACGGCTTCCCTCTGATGCAGTTTAGGCTAATTGGAGGAATCTGCAGGTCAAAGTTATCTACCTCCAGATTGTTACTTTCCAGAGAAGATAACTTTATTTATTAATTTAGATCATTAGCAGTTAAACGGTGGCTGTAGATTCACCTGCAAACGCGTCCAGATGTCCCCTGCAGACAGACGGATGCCAGCAGGTCCTGCTTTAATGAACCAATAGTTCTATCAACAGAAACGTTTCATTTATAAATACGGTTGAGCTGAGATCCATCTGAGCTCCTGCGCCTCCTGGAGGAGAAATGTGCTCCAACGCGCGTGTTACAGGGCGCTCCCTCTGATTGGGCGCAGGGTCGCACATGTGCTGTTTCTAAGAGGAGGGGGCGGGTCATCAAAATCCTCCATTATAGCCTAAATAAATGCAAATAAAATCCCCTGTGAATAAAGTTAAACACTTTCACCTCTTTTCTTTTCTTTTTTTTAACTGGTCTGTTTTGCAGCTTATTTAGGAGAAAAAAGACAAAAATGTTTCTATTAAATAAACGCGTTAAAATATAACATGAATGTTTTTATGTGCAGCTTTATTATTTAGACATTAGTCTGTCTTTGGTATTTTTTTTTATTTCTGCAGTTTGATGGTAAATGGACAATGTCCCTGAAAGGCGTCCCTGAAATGGACAGTGTCCCTGAATAGGAAAGCGTCCCTGAAATGGACGGCGTCCCTGAAATGGACGGCGTCCCTGAAGGTGACGCGCTGGTCTGGTTCTGTGCAGGTGAGGGACCTAAGGCTCACCTGCAGAGGCTGGCAGAGAGCATCCGCTGGTCGTACGGCGCCGGCATCGTGCTGCGGCTGGGAAACATCGCCAGGCTGGAGCTGAATTACTGCGTCCCCATGGGGGTCCAGAGCGGAGACAGGTACCAGAGCCCGCGCCATCAAACGCCTCAGGCGGCGCCATGACTTCACCTCTCCTCCATTTTGTCTCCTAGGATATGTGACGGCGTCCAGTTCGGAGCAGGAATCCGCTTCCTGTGATCTCTGCCCCCCCCCCTCCCTCACCCGTCTGGAGTTTGATGCTGATGGGGAGCGTTTCATTTCTGCACCTGTTGTGAGAGTAAAGAACCAGAAGCAACGAGCCTCGCTGTGGAACTCCGCCTGCAGCGCAGATTTCCATCGACCGCAGACGGAGAACCTGAATCACTCGGTCGGCTTTTCACTATTTTTCTCCCGACGTGTTTTATGTGGTGAAGTTAGCGCCATATGTGGCAGCAAAGTTCCTGGAGAAGACGAAGCACACCTGGAAACGCACTAAGGATGAGGGGAGGAGCGCCGCCTCCTCGCTTCGTCTTTCACCTGGAATGCTCCAGAATAAATGTCACCTCCTCCTGTTTCCTTGTTCTTCTCTTTCTTTGAGTCCAACATCCAGTTTCTCTGCAGAAATATTCAACCTCTCAGAACGTTTCAGCTGCTGGTTTGGGTAGAAAAGTCGTTTATTGACAGAAAGTTTTATGTTTTCCACAGATTCTCATTGGAGTTCAGTTCTGGGCTTTGACTAGGCCGTTCTGACCAATCATGTTTGACTAAAACCCTTTGGTCTAAATATATGGAGTGAATGTTGCTCCATTGTTGCAAAAAGAAAGCGTTTTGTAAATGGGATTTATTTTTTTTATTTAGTTCAGAAATGAAACTTTAAAAACGTCTTAATAACAAAAAAGGTTTTGAGAATAATTTTTGTGTTTCTTGATCTAATTTTCTTTTCATGTTTTATTTTTCAAGGTATATATTTGTTTCACTTTTTTTTTTTTTTTTTTACAGATTTAATACTTAGAACAGTTTGTTTTCTTTTATATTTGCTTTTAACAGACCAGTTTTTGTCTATGGAGGAAAATAATCTGTAAGAAGCAATTCTAAAATGTTTTTTTTTCTAAAGTCAGCATTAAAAAGGTGAAAATATAAAGTCTATAAAATAACATTTTCAAATAAAATACAAAAAGTCGCTCTTTAAACCTTTTTTTGATTTTTCAAAGTTTCATTCTGTGATTGTTTTATTTACAAAAACGGTTCTTTGCAACAATATTGGAACAAAATTCCCTCCATATAAAATCCTCCTGGATTTTTTTTTGTGTGTGAAAAACCTTTAAAATCAGTTGAGTTTGTGATTTTAAAGCGATGAAATGAGGAAAAGGTGTGGTTATCTTTCTGAGTGATGTTCCAGGGAGGCGGCGCCGCTCTGCTGATTGCGTCCCGCTGCCAGTCGGCCACTGATCGCTGCAACCTTTGCTCCTCTGGAACCTGAGCAGGGCGGTCCGGTTCAGCTGCTGCCTGATGGGTTTGCTTCTGGCTGAGATGAACCGTCCAAAGATCCACATCAGGGCAGCCATGACGCCTCAGCATGCTGATCGCTCACTGCTGGAAAGTAGAAAGATTAGATTCTATTTGTGCTTCTGGACAGATTTCTATATGATCAAAAAGTAAAGAATGATTTTGTTTCTAAGGATGGCTGCTCTCCATCCGGATGCTTTAGGCTGAGCTGCCTTTTCCTGAATGTCGTTTCTTTTAAAGAAACATTTTCATTTTTAATCTAAAAATAAAACATCAGGACTTCATTAACTAGAAGCAACATTAAAAAGCAGCCGCCTGTCACTGAGCGGCATAAAATGGAGGAAAGGTTAAAAAGTGGTGAATGTTCCCAGGAGAGGACGGCCTCCTTCACCTGCGCTTCTCTGCAGTTAAACACGGTGGTGGTGGTGTGATGCAACGGGCTGAGCTTTCCTGCTCTCGTTTGAGGACGGCAGGAAAAATCGATCTGAACTAAAATAAAACGACTAATGTTTGATAACGGCCTAGTCAAAGTAGATAAGATGATTATTGCCCGATCATTTTTAAACTTGATGCTAAATTCAAACTTTAAACGAGCGATTAGATCCACTTAAAGCTTCTCTTCCTTTTCATGAATGAATTCCTTTTAGTTGGTAAAACATTTAGTTTTTACTTCAGTTTATTATCGAACATCTTCTGGTTTACTGGAAAGTTTTCTGATTAAATTCTTCCTTGGACTAAATTAGGACATAAGTTTACCAACATGTTTTAAAGTAGAGCGGCTCCTAAAGTGACCCTGAAGGGGCTGAGATAGTTTCATTATGATCTCTGAGGAATCTGGATTATTTTCCTTAATGCTCCTTTAAATAAATAATTTGACGTCATATTTACCTCTGCATCCTAAATTTACCTTTCAATTATAATTAAATATTTCCATTAAATGAACACATTAAAATAATTGAAATGATTATTTCATTTAATAAATGTATTTTAAATGAATGTAATTACTTAAAGCTATAGTGGAGGATCTTTCATTTCTGGGTGGATCATCTCAATGAGTGGTGCTCCTAGCTGTCAATCATCCTGGTGGTGCGTTTATGTCACTATTTTCACTGACCGCCGGTGAGTCTGACAGAGAGAAAAACCTCCTTTATGAAGCTAAGCTGGTGTGAGCGATGCAGACGGCGACTATTAAACAGCCACGTCTCCTCGTGCACGCTCACACGCGTGTAACAGGCGTTCTCTGTAGTGAGCGGGTCCAGGGTTGTGCATGTGCATTTCTTTTACAGTGAAGGGGGCGGGGCTTTAGAAAAATGAAATTCTCCACTATTCCTTTAAGTTTGTTTTCATTAATAAAAATATAATAAATCTGTAATTATTTTCCGTGAGTCGGCAGAACGGCTGCTTTAGTTTCCTGTTACAGGGTTAAATACTGAATACACTGAAGTACGCAGCAGGTACTCATCTATGTACTACTAGTATATGCAGTATATGCTTTATTGAAGTATATTTAAGGTTTACTACAATTAAACTTCCTTATTGCAAACTTTAAGCTGCTTTAAGTAGCCATAATCTGGTGCAGAAATAAAGGAAACTGAGCTTTAATATTTAGTTTACTTCCAGTGTTATAGGAAGGCCTGCAGCTCAGCATCTCTGACAAGAACGCGCAGCGTGATCGCGCACGCACGCTGGGCGCTACGTGGCCGCGAGCCGTTTATCTCCGCGGTTGTTCCGTGGCCGTGGCGTGGCGTGGCGAGTTTCTGCTGGCTCTGTCTCGCTCACCGCGCGCGCGCACGCTGACGCACACACATAAGCCCGGTTGGAGCAGCGGCGGCGCGCAGAGCTCCGGAGCGCAAGCTGCAGGACAGACGGAGCCACACCGCCATGATGCTGCGGACAGCGGGGAGCGTCTTCAGGAGGTTCTCCACCTCCTCAGTGAGTAACAGCGCTCCTCCACCGGAGCTGAGACTCTTTCTGCTTTCAGTTGATCTAAACCATCCCGATCAGGAGCCGTTAGTCCCGCAGCTTTCTGCCTCCTGCATGCAGAACAGGCTGTCTCTCTGCTTTACTAGCTGCCTTTGAACGCATCACCAAGGAAACTGGAGTCACTCTGGTTTCGCTGATTTATAAAAACAATCTGAAGAAGGTTTTAATTTAAAAATAGCTTCACTGTTTTCTCATGTTTTGTTTTCAAATTATTGCTTTTGAAATAAATTTAGAAATGTTTATTTATTTTGTTATTTTTATTTTTAGCACTTTCGCTTAATTTCAAGCTCAAACCCCCAGAGACTCAGAGAAAAAAATGCAAATAATAAAACTTAATCCAGAAAAGAAATTCTGTAAAAAAAAAAAAAAATATATATATATATATAATCTGATGTTTCATATCTTAAAAAGAAAAAATAATTCCTGGATTTTGTTTATTTTTTTCAAATTAATTTACAAAAACTAGGGATCATAATTGACTCCATATCTGAAACCTGAGAGCGGCTCCTGTCAGAGGGGAGGGGCCCCTGCCATGCCCTCCTGACTCCCCAGCAGAAAGAAGCCCTCTGAGGGGCGGAAAGTGTTGCGTAATCAGTGGAGCTTTAACTGAAGGAAAACAACTTTAGGATTCTGCATAAATTTAGCTCCTCCTCTGGCTGCAGGTTCAGTTTGCAAATAGAGCAAAATGAAAAGCATGATTTTATATTTCTGACCATGAATCTGTTGATGGAGTCATTTTAAAGCAGTGGTATAAATAAGCTGTTCATCCGTATAGCTCTAGCTATAACCTCCACAGGTTGGAAACATTCTGATCAAACCAGAGGAAGATGTGTTCACTGCTGTGGGAATCCAGGGCGCTGGGCCCCCAGACTGGGAAACTGAACACCAGTTGGGGTTAAACATAGTTCAGCCCATGTTTAGGAACTCTCTTTACTTTCTTTTTAGATGTGGGGAACGTTTGTTCGATCCTATTAGCATCTCAGCTGCAATAATCTGACAGATTGTTTGTTTTTGTTTTTCAGCATTATTACCAGAATAAGCTGAAATTAGCCATTATTGGTCAGAGTCTGTTTGGCCAAGAGGTTTACAGCAACCTGAGGAAGCAGGGTCACAAGGTGGTGGGCGTGTTCACCGTTCCTGATAGAGACGGCAAGGCCGACCCTCTGGGTGAGTAAACCGCTTCAAAGATGATTTTAACGCCTGAATCTTTCTTTCCTTTCTTGATCTTTTTAATTAACTAAATCAGACTTTAAGAAACAATCAGCTGTTTCCTGTTGAAACTAAAACCCATCAAATCACACCAAAAAAACTAACTTTTAAAATTTACCAACTATTTGTTATTATTATTATTATTGTTCGCCAAATGATGTCGTAAAAATAATTAAAAATAGAAATAGGTAAGATGATTTTATTAAATAAGGAAGAACATCCATCCAGGCTAAGCTGTCATACACCAAGCTACACCAACGTAGCATCTTCTGTTTTCCAGTGGATATTTATTTACAGATTGTATTTTATATATATATATATATATATATATATATATATGTGTCTGCTCCATCAACACCAACTCAAACTCCTTGTTAGTGCAAACCTACTTGGCAACAAACTCAGCTATGATGTGGGTCAGTTTAAATCCATAGAACTGTATGGAGTGACATTTGTTCCATTATTGTTTCAAGAAAAGAAAATGTTTTCTAGATGGAAAAATCCAGAAAAAAAACTTGATGTTTTCTTCAGGGTTTTATTGATTCATTCTAGAAGAAGCAGCAGCATCCATCCCGTTAGCATCCATCCCGTTAGCATACATCCCGTTAGCATACATCCCGTTAGCATCCATCTCATTAGCATCCATCCCGTTAGCATCCATCCCGTTAGCATCCATCCCGTTAGCATCCATCTCATTAGCATCCATCCCGTTAGCATCCATCCCGTTAGCATCCATCTCATTAGCATCCATCCCGTTAGCATCCATTCCATCGTGACCAATTTGATGATGTCAGGCCAGGAGAACCAGGCGGAGCTTGCTTCCAGGTGCTGCTTGCTACCTGCTGCCCAACATAACCTCAGTGGAGGGAAGCTGTTTCTCATGTCAGAGGTAGATGCAGCCTTGGTGGAGGTTTGCAGGGCGTTTGTCCTGGATCTGTGCAGTGGGATCTGAGGTAGATGCTTGGACTGTGCTGTTCCTCCAGACAAAGAGGTGCTTTTATCTCGTGTTAGCTGAGGGAGACTGACTCCATTGTCTGTGCTGGAAGAGCCTCAGTGTGGCACAGAGAGGGGATTCTGATCTGATCCAGTTAAATGTTTCCATGTAGCATCACCACGCCGTCCTGTCCTGCTGCTCATGTGTGGCGCTGCAGAACGTTAAGCAGAACCAGACGGATCTAGAACTGAGCTGCTGTGTTTATTACTCTGCTGCCGTGCTTCTGGCTCCGGGTCACCATGATGCTGAACCGGTTCAGACCGGTTCAGCATCATGGAGCTCATCTCCATGATGCTGAACCGGTTCAGACCGGTTCTGATCACTCCTTGTCGAAATTTGTAAAATTTATTAAAAAATATTTGAATAAATAAAATATACAAATTAATTAGAAAAAAAGAATCAAAATCTGAGAAAACATCAGTTGCTCTCTTTTTTTTATTAAAACAACTTTTGGAAACTTTTCTCTGGATAATTTTTTTTTCATCAAAAACATGCAAAAAGTTTTCCTTGCCGCTAAAATAATGGAACAAATTTCCATTGAAGGTTCAGTGTTTTTGAAGCTGAATGTTTTTGGTCAAACAGTTTGTCGGTTTAATAAATGTTTTCCTGCCGGGACCTTCAGCCTGGCTCTGCTGCTGCTCTGAGGTCCTGACAGGGAAAAGCTTTACGGTTCCTTTAGGTTTGATCTTTAGTGGGTCGTTTCTCTTCAGGCCTTCCGCCATCTTTAATGCCATCCCGTAAACCCGTCTAACCCTTTCCTCCTCTGACAGCGGTGGCGGCGGAGAAGGACGGCACGCCAGTGTTCAAGTTTCCCAGGTGGCGTGTGAAAGGAAAGCCTATCCAGGACGTGGTTGACGCCTACAAGTCAGTGGGGGCGGAGCTAAACGTCATGCCCTTCTGCTCCCAGTTCATCCCTATGAACGTGATCGACCATCCCCAGCACGGCTCCATCATCTACCACCCGTCCATCTTACCTCTGCACAGAGGAGCTTCTGCCATCAACTGGTGAGACGTTTGGTTTCTGCTCCTCAGCCTGAAGGTTCAGGAGCTCAAAATGGCCGCCAGCTTTTTGTTCCTCTCATGAGTTTTCCTTTGATGTGACGTTTTCTCCAGGACTCTGATCCACGGTGATAAAAAAGCTGGCTTCACGGTGTTCTGGGCCGACGACGGTTTGGACACGGGGCCCATCCTGCTGCAGAGGGAATGCGCCGTGGAGCCCAACGACACCGTGGACACGCTGTACAACCGCTTCCTGTTCCCAGAGGGCATCAAAGCCATGGTAACCTGCAGGAGCCTCCTGAACGTGGAGATGTTTGTTCCTCAGACTGAATGTGGGCTGGTGTTTCAGGTGGAGGCGGTGCAGCTCATCGCTGACGGGAACGCCCCTCGCATCCCGCAGACGGAGGACGGAGCCAGTTATGAGGGCATCCAGAAGAAATCCAACGCCAAGGTCAGACTCCTGATGCAGATAGGGTCCTGGTTAGACTGGGACGGTCCCGGTTAGAGTGGGACGGTCCTGGTTGGAGTGGGAGGGTCCTGGTTAGAGTGGGACGGTCCTGGTTAGACTGGGACGGTCCCGGTTAGAGTGGGACGGTCCTGGTTGGAGTGGGAGGGTCCTGGTTGGAGTGGGAGGGTCCTGGTTAGAGTGGGAGGGTCCTGGTTGGAGTGGGACGGTCCCGGTTAGAGTGGGACGGTCCTGGTTAGAGTGGGACGGTCCCGGTTAGAGTGGGACGGTCCTGGTTAGAGTGGGACGGTCCTGGTTGGAGTGGGAGGGTCCTGGTTGGAGTGGGACAGTCCTGGTTAGAGTGGGAGGGTCCTGGTTAGAGTGGGACGGTCCTGGTTAGAGTGGGAGGGTCCTGGTTGGAGTGGGAGGGTCCTGGTTGGAGTGGGACAGTCCTGGTTAGAGTGGGAGGGTCCTGGTTAGAGTGGGAGGGTCCTGGTTGGAGTGGGAGGGTCCTGGTTAGAGTGGGACGGTCCTGGTTAGAGTGGGACGGTCCTGGTTAGAGTGGGAGGGTCCTGGTTGGAGTGGGACAGTCCTGGTTAGAGTGGGAGGGTCCTGGTTAGAGTGGGACGGTCCTGGTTGGAGTGGGAGGGTCCTGGTTGGAGTGGGACAGTCCTGGTTAGAGTGGGAGGGTCCTGGTTGGAGTGGGACAGTCCTGGTTAGAGTGGGAGGGTCCTGGTTAGAGTGGGACGGTCCTGGTTAGAGTGGGACAGTCCTGGTTAGAGTGGGAGGGTCCTGGTTGGAGTGGGACGGTCCTGGTTAGAGTGGGACGGTCCCGGTTAGAGTGGGACGGTCCTGGTTGGAGTGGGAGGGTCCTGGTTGGAGTGGGACAGTCCTGGTTAGAGTGGGAGGGTCCTGGTTAGAGTGGGACGGTCCTGGTTAGAGTGGGACGGTCCTGGTTAGAGTGGGAGGGTCCTGGTTGGAGTGGGACAGTCCTGGTTAGAGTGGGAGGGTCCTGGTTGGAGTGGGACGGTCCTGGTTAGAGTGGGAGGGTCCTGGTTGGAGTGGGACGGTCCTGGTTAGAGTGGGAGGGTCCTGGTTGGAGTGGGACAGTCCTGGTTAGAGTGGGAGGGTCCTGGTTGGAGTGGGACGGTCCTGGTTAGAGTGGGAGGGTCCTGGTTGGAGTGGGACAGTCTTGGTTAGAGTGGGAGGGTCCTGGTTGGAGTGGGAGGGTCCTGGTTAGAGTGGGACGGTCCTGGTTAGAGTGGGACGGTCCTGGTTAGAGTGGGACGGTCCTGGTTAGAGTGGGAGGGTCCTGGTTAGAGTATGACGGTCCTGGTTAGAGTGGGAGGGTCCTGGTTAGAGTGGAACGGTCCTGGTTAGAGTGGGACGGTCCTAGTTGGAGTGGGACGGTCCTAGTTGGAGTGGGAGGGTCCTGGTTAGAGTATGACGGTCCTGGTTAGAGTGGGAGGGTCCTGGTTGGAGTGGGAGGGTCCTGGTTGGAGTGGGACGGTCCTGGTTGGAGTGGGACAGTCCTGGTTAGAGTGGGAGGGTCCTGGTTGGAGTGGGAGGGTCCTGGTTGGAGTGGGACGGTCCTGGTTGGAGTGGGACGGTCCTGGTTAGAGTGGGACGGTCCTGGTTAGAGTGGGAGGGTCCTGGTTGGAGTGGGACAGTCCTGGTTAGAGTGGGAGGGTCCTGGTTGGAGTGGGACGGTCCTGGTTAGAGTGGGAGGGTCCTGGTTGGAGTGGGACGGTCCTGGTTAGAGTGGGAGGGTCCTGGTTGGAGTGGGACAGTCCTGGTTAGAGTGGGAGGGTCCTGGTTGGAGTGGGACGGTCCTGGTTAGAGTGGGAGGGTCGTGGTTGGAGTGGGACAGTCTTGGTTAGAGTGGGAGGGTCCTGGTTGGAGTGGGAGGGTCCTGGTTAGAGTGGGACGGTCCTGGTTAGAGTGGGACGGTCCTGGTTAGAGTGGGACGGTCCTGGTTAGAGTGGGAGGGTCCTGGTTAGAGTATGACGGTCCTGGTTAGAGTGGGAGGGTCCTGGTTAGAGTGGGAGGGTCCTGGTTGGAGTGGGACAGTCCTGGTTAGAGTGGGAGGGTCCTGGTTGGAGTGGGACGGTCCTGGTTAGAGTGGGAGGGTCCTGGTTGGAGTGGGACGGTCCTGGTTAGAGTGGGAGGGTCCTGGTTGGAGTGGGACAGTCCTGGTTAGAGTGGGAGGGTCCTGGTTGGAGTGGGACGGTCCTGGTTAGAGTGGGAGGGTCCTGGTTGGAGTGGGACAGTCTTGGTTAGAGTGGGAGGGTCCTGGTTGGAGTGGGAGGGTCCTGGTTAGAGTGGGACGGTCCTGGTTAGAGTGGGACGGTCCTGGTTAGAGTGGGACGGTCCTGGTTAGAGTGGGAGGGTCCTGGTTAGAGTATGACGGTCCTGGTTAGAGTGGGAGGGTCCTGGTTAGAGTGGAACGGTCCTGGTTAGAGTGGGACGGTCCTAGTTGGAGTGGGACGGTCCTAGTTGGAGTGGGAGGGTCCTGGTTAGAGTATGACGGTCCTGGTTAGAGTGGGAGGGTCCTGGTTGGAGTGGGAGGGTCCTGGTTGGAGTGGGACGGTCCTGGTTGGAGTGGGACAGTCCTGGTTAGAGTGGGAGGGTCCTGGTTGGAGTGGGAGGGTCCTGGTTGGAGTGGAACGGTCCTGGTTAGAGTGGGACGGTCCTGGTTAGAGTGGGACGGTCCTGGTTAGAGTGGGAGGGTCCTGGTTAGAGTATGACGGTCCTGGTTAGAGTGGGAGGGTCCTGGTTAGAGTGGAACGGTCCTGGTTAGAGTGGGACGGTCCTAGTTGGAGTATGACGGTCCTGGTTAGAGTGGGACGGTCCTAGTTGGAGTATGACGGTCCTGGTTAAAGTATGACGGTCCTGGTTAGAGTATGACGGTCCTGGTTAGAGTGGGACGGTCCTGGTTAGAGTATGACGGTCCTGGTTAGAGTGGGACGGTCCTGGTTAGAGTATGACGGTCCTGGTTAGAGTGGGACGGTCCTAGTTGGAGTGGGAATGTCCTGGTTAGAGTGGGAATGTCCTGGTTAGAGTGGGACGGTCCTGGTTAGAGTATGACGGTCCTGGTTAGAGTGGGACGGTCCTGGTTAGAGTGGGACGGTCCTGGTTAGAGTGGGACGGTCCTGGTTAGAGTGGGACGGTCCTGGTTAGAGTGGGACGGTCCTGGTTAGAGTGGGATGGACGGTCCTGGTTAGAGTGGGATGGACGGTCCTGGTTAAAGTGGGACGGTCGGTCCTGGTTAAAGTGGGATGGCCGGTCCTGGTTGTAGTTGGAGGTCCTGGTTAGAGTGGGACAGTCCTGGTTGTAATGGGACGGTCCTAGTTGTAATGGGTCGGTCCTGGTTGCAATGGATCTGTCCTGGTTAGAGTGGGACGGTCCGTGTTGTAGTGGGAAGGTCCTGGTTGTAGTGGGACGGTCCTAGTTAGAGTGGGACAGTCCTGGTTGTAATGGGACAGTCCTGGTTAGAGTGGGACGTCCGTGTTGTAGTGGGACGGTCCTGGTTAGAGTGGGAAGGACGGTACTGGTTGTAGTTGGACGGTCCCTGTTGTAATCGGACGGTCCTGGTTGTAATGGGATGGTCCGTGTTGTAGTGGGACGGTCCTGGTTGTAATCGGACGGTACTGGTTGTAGTGGGACGGACGGTACTGGTTGTAGTGGGACGGTCATGGTTGTAGTGGGACGGTCCTGGTTGTAATCGGACGGTACTGGTTGTAGTAGGACGGACGGTACTGGTTGTGGTGGGACGGACGGTACTGGTTGTAGTGGGACGGTCATGGTTGTAGTGGGACGGTCCTGGTTGTAATCGGACGGTACTGGTTGTAGTGGGACGGTACTGGTTGTAGTAGGACGGACGGTACTGGTTGTAGTGGGACGGACGGTACTGGTTGTAGTGGGACGGACGGTACTGGTTGTAGTGGGACGGTACTGGTTGTAGTAGGACGGACGGTACTGGTTGTAGTGGGACGGACGGTACTGGTTGTAGTGGGACGGACGGTCCTGGTTGTAGTGGGACGGACGGTCCTGGTTGTAGTGGGACGGACGGTACTGGTTGTATTGGGACGGACGGTCCTGGTTGTAATGGGACGGTTCTGCTATTATGATGAGAAAAAGCAGAGAGAGCAGAACGTTAGAGATTGAACTAACAGATTCTGCAGAGTGGGAGAATAGAGATAGAATGAAGCAGAATGATGAAAAAGGGGTCCCTATGTCCTCCAGCAGTCTAAGCCTTTTGCCTTACAGAAACCTGGCTGCAGCAAGAGGATTATGTGAGCATAAATGAGGCAACTCCTTCAAGCTATTTAAATTTTCACATCCCCAGAAGTTCTGGGCGAGGAGGAGGAGTAGCAACAATCTTCGAGTCTGACTTACTGATTACTCCCAAAACAGTTAATTCCTACAACTCTTTTGAACATTTAACCCTTAATTTCCCTGATCCAAATTTCAAGGCAAGAAAACCTCTTCTTTTTGTAACTTTGTATCGTCCACCAGGTCCTTACTCTGAATTTTTAGATGAGTTTTCAGAGTTCCTTTCTGATTTGGTATTAAATACTGACAGGGTCATCATAGTGGGAGATTTTAACATCCATGCTGACATTGAAGGCGATAGCTTAAGAGCAGCCTTTAATGCTATCTTAGACACTATTGGCTTTGTTCAAAATGTGAATAGTCCCACGCATTCTCATCTTCATACTTTGGATCTTGTGCTGACATACGGCATAGAATGTGAAGAAATAACAGTATTTCCTCACAACCCTGTCCTCTCTGACCACTTTCTAATAACCTTCAGGGTTACTTTAACAGAGTTCTCCTCCCCCAAAAGAAGGTTCAATTTTAGTAGATCTTTATCAGATAGTGCAGTTATAAATTTTAAAGAATCTGCTTCACTTTCTCTCTGCTCTGTGTCACTGAGCAGTGCTGCAGAGTGCAAAAGCTTAGCTTATTCCCCTTCACAGGTTGATGATTTTGTTGAGGGGGTTGCTAGTTCTCTGCGTATTGCCTTAGACAACGCAGCTCCTTTGAAAATGAAAACCGTTAAAAATAGAAAGCTTGCTCCTTGGTTTAATGCAGAGCTGCGTACTTTGAAGCAAAATGCTAGGAAACTGGAGAGAAAATATCGCTCCACAGGCCTGCGAGAGTCCTTCCTAGTCTGGAAAAATGGTTTACTGCTGTATAAGAGGACCCTTTGTAAAGCAAGAGCAGCATACTTCTCCTCATTAATAGAGGAGAATAAGAATAATCCTAGATTTCTTTTTAATACAGTTGCCAAACTCACCCAGAGCCATAGCTCTGTTGAACCGTCCCTTCCACCTGCTCTTAGCAGCAATGATTTTATGGGATTCTTTATAAATAAGATTGATCTTATTAAAAATAAGATCATAAGCACTCCTCTATCCGCGATTGTACCTGAGGTAGTCATGGAATCTGAACCGGGTTTAGACTGCTTTGATCCAGTTGAACTCTCTGAATTAGCAAAATTATTGTCTTCATCTAAGCCTTCAACTTGTATGTTAGATCCAGTTCCAACCAGGTTATTTAAGGAGGTATTCCCTTTGATCTCCTCCTCCATTTTAGATGTGATTAATCTATCTCTGTTACAGGGATATGTACCTAAAGCTTTTAAGGTTGCTGTAATTAAACCTCTGCTTAAGAAACCGTCTCTTGACCCAGATGACTTGGTCAATTATAGACCTATATCCAATCTTCCTTTCTTATCCAAAATTCTTGAGAAAGTAGTTGCCAAACAAGTTTGCGATCACTTCCACCATAATGAACTTTTTGAAGAGTTTCAGTCTGGCTTTAGAGCTCATCATAGCACTGAAACAGCTCTGGTGAAAGTCACTAATGATATTCTCATGGCCTCAGATAATGGACTTGTATCTGTGCTCGTCCTGTTGGATCTTAGTGCTGCATTTGATACAGTTGACCATAATATTCTTTTAGAAAGACTTGAATATTTTGTTGGAATTAAAGGAACAGCACTAGACTGGTTTAAATCTTATCTATCTGATCGAATTCAGTTTGTTCACGTTAATGATAGATCTTCCACACGCTCAAAGGTTACCTGTGGAGTACCACAGGGATCAGTGCTAGGACCAATTCTCTTTACTTTATACATGCTCCCAATTGGTAGAATTATTAGACAGCATGGGATTAATTTCCACTGTTATGCTGATGATACCCAGCTATATCTGTCTATAAATCCAGATGAAGCTAACCCATTACATAGATTACAGGCATGTCTTGAAGACATAAAAACCTGGATGACTCTTAACTTTCTGCTTCTGAATGCAGACAAAACAGAAGTTATAGTCTTTGGACCAGAGTCTCTGAAAAAGAAACTGATTAGCCAGTCACTTCATTTGGATGGGATTAAACTGATTTCAGATAATAAAGTAAAAAATCTTGGTGTTATTTTTGATCAGGACCTGTCATTTAAATCCCATATCAAAGAGGTTTCTAGAATTTCCTTCTTTCATCTGAGGAACATTGCAAAAATGAGAAATATCCTGTCCAGGGGTGATGCTGAGAAACTAGTCCATGCATTTGTTACTTCAAGGCTGGACTATTGTAATTCTTTACTATCAGGAAGTCCACAAACTGTAGTTAAAAGCCTTCAGCTGATCCAAAATGCTGCAGCCAGAGTTCTAATGAAAATGAAAAAGAGAGATCATATCTCTCCTATCCTGGCTTCTCTTCATTGGCTTCCTGTTAAATCAAGAATGGAATTTAAAATCCTCCTTCTCACATATAAAGCCTTAAATGGCCAAGCTCCATCTGATATCAGAGATCTGATTGTTCCTTATGTTCCTAACAGAGCACTTCGCTCTCAATCTGCAGGTTTACTAGTGGTTCCTAGAATTTCTAAAAGTAGAATGGGAGGCAGATCTTTTAGTTCTCAGGCTCCTCTCCTGTGGAACCAACTACCAGTTTTAGTCCGTGAGGCAGACACCCTGTCTACTTTTAAGGCTAGGCTTAAAACTTTCATTTTTGATAAAGCTTATAGTTAGAGTGGCTCAGGTTATCCTGAGCTATCTCTATAGTTATGCTGCTATAGGCTTAGACTTTTGGAGGACATAGGGACCCCCATTTCATCATTCTGGTTCATTCTCTCTCTGTTCTCCTATTCTGCAGAATCTGTTAGTTCAATCTCTAACCTTCTGCTCTCTCTGCTTTTCCTCAGAGTAGCTTTGCCTCGTCTGTTCCTGTTTGGCTGTGACGTCATCCTGGAAAGAAACATCAGCTGTGCTGCTTCTATCAACACCCTTGTTAATAGATGTTGGAGATCGGCCTGTTTTCCAGTGTGGTCCTGTTTCTCTGACCGTGACTGAGTGGATGTGCTCTCTTCGTCCTCTGACATGGGAGCTGCCTTGGAGCTCGTCTGCCTGGCTGTGTGTTTCCTGGACGGGGCCGCCTTTTACAGCTGCTTTTTCTATGTCTGCTTCTGTCTCCTTGAACCCCAGTGGGCCTCAGCAGATGGCCGCTCACACTGAGCCTGGTTCTGCTGGAGGTTTCTTCCTGTTAAAAGGGAGTTTTTCCTCTCCACTGTCGCTACAAGCATGCTTAGTGTGAGGGATTGCTGAAGAGTCAATGAGTCGATGCAATCAGCTGGTTTTCCTTAGATAGAAAACTTTGTATCAATTTGACTGGATGATCTGGTGAACTGGAAAGTGCCTTGAGATGACATGTGTTGTGAATTTGGCGCTATATAAATAAACTGAATTGAATTGAATTAAGCCTATAGCAGCAGAACTATAGAGATAGATCAGGATAACCTGAGCCACTCTAACTAGAAGCTTTATCAAAAAGGAAAGTTTTAAGCCTAGCCTTAAAAGTAGACAGGGTGTCTGCCTCACGGACTAAAACTGGTAGTTGGTTCCACAGGAGAGGAGCCTGAGAACTAAAAGATCTGCCTCCCATTCTACTTTTAGAAATTCTAGGAACCACTAGTAAACCTGCAGATTGAGAGCGAAGTGCTCTGTTAGGAACATAAGGAACAATCAGATCTCTGATATCAGATGGAGCTTGGCCATTTAAGGCTTTATATGTGAGAAGGAGGATTTTAAATTCTATTCTGGATTTAACAGGAAGCCAATGAAGAGAAGCCAGGATAGGCGAGATATGATCTCTCTTTTTCTCTTATTTTCTGTAGTTCAGTCTCAGTTCAAAGCAAAAGATGGGAACCAATCGATGCCTGCGGTCAGACGGCGTCTTTAAAGGCTGATTTACGGCAGTAATTTTCCATCAGACGCTGAAGCTGAGGACATTTCCGTCCTGCAGACGAGCTCTCCTCTCAGACCCGGTCTGTTCTGGTCGGGTTCCAGCTGCTCGCCGTAGTAACAGCTGTGGAATTTTACTGTAAGGCAGCAGAGCGGAGGGCGGCTCCGGACCGGTCTACTCTAGTTTGTTTTGGACGGTGGTGGAGCTGCTTCCTGGTTTGGCTCCTGCTGCTCACCTTCTATTCTTAGAGCGGAGGCTCCGTCTCTCCCTGAAAGTAAAGCTGAGTCCCGCCTCTCTTCCCAGGTTAACTGGGCCCAGCCAGCCGGGGCCATCCACAACTGGATCCGGGGCCACGACAAAGTTCCCGGAGCCTGGACCCTCGTGGATGGACAGGTGTGTTTCCTGGAACAGCAGCAGTTGATAAAAATAGGTTAATGGTTTATAAAGAAGCAGCTGCCAAAGTTTTCCCACCCTCTGAAGTTTAATCCCATTTCATTACAACCTTCAGTCTGTTTATCTGGACTTTTATCAGATCAACCCAAACAGAGAAATAAAACCATTTACCTATGGAGTCAAGTTGGTTCCATTATTGTTGCAAACAACACAATTTGTAAATTGAAATAAAACAATTAAAACTAGAAATGAAACTTTAAAAAAGGTTGAAATAAAAAAAAAAGGTTTTGAGAATTTTTCAATTTTTGTTTTAAAGCTTATTTTTTAAATTTTGTCTTTTGGTTTTGTTTTTGGGTTGATTTTTTTATTATTTTTTATTTATTTATTTTTTTTACAGATCTTGTTTTTTTTCAAATTTTTATTAAAAGATTAATTTAGAGATCTTATATTTAAATTTATTTTTTTAAATGTCTTTGTTGTAGAAGGAGTTTAACAAATTCTTCTGAATTTAAAATATTTTGATCTGAAAAAAAGTAAAAAAAAATGTAACTTAAACATAAATGGAAAAAGTAAAATCTGAGAAAAGGAAAATTTAAACTTCAAACTTTATATGATGAAGAAGTTTTTCAAAGTTTCATTTCTGGATTTATTTATTGTTTTATTTCTATTTACAAAACGTGCTGAAAAATAACGAGCGAAATTCTCTCCATAGAACAAAGCTGTCTACAGACGGTTAATCTGATTGGTCTGGACTTTGACTAGACCGCTGAAACACGAGGCTGTGGATCTTCTGCTTCACAGACGAGAAGCTGGATTTATTCTGGGATTAAGCAAAGCTGGATTCCTTCATCTGGATTATAGGATCAGGGTCGACCTCATGAATAATGGGAGGAGTTAGTTGTAAAGCGCCTCTGCCTCTCCACAGCCCGTCACCCTGTACGGCTCCTCCATGTTGGGGGGGGCGGTCCCGGCCGGTCAGCCGCTGGAGATCGAGGGAGCTTCCCGACCCGGCCTGGTGACGAAGAACGGGCTGGTCCTGTACGGAACCGACGGCAAAGCTGTGAGTGGCCTCCTGGGTGGAAGCAGTCAGAACCGCCCTGATCCGGTTCCGCTCACCTCTCTGTCTGCTGTCGGCAGCTGCTGGTCAAGAATCTGCAGTTTGAAGACGGGAAGATGATCCCAGCTTCCAAGTTCTTCAGCGCAGGAGAGAGCGCCAGCGTGGAGCTGACCGACGAGGAGAAGAAGATGGCGGAGGAAATCCGGGTGAGTGGCGCGGCGTAGCGTAGCGCGGCGTTTTCTGGCTTCTTTGACTCTGCAGAAGAAAAGAAACATGAATGTTTTTATGATTCTACCAAAGAACATCTGGAAGGGAATCCTCAGCAACGTAGCCGCCATCGAGGACACGACGGACTTCTTCAAGTCTGGAGCTGCTTCCATGGATGTGGTCAGGTGAGACCTTCGGTCCATCAGGAGAAGCTTCCTTCATCCATTTAAAGGAACATTTAATTTTAGCAAATAATCACAAAGAAAAGGTTTAAAAACCTGCAAAGTTTCTGATTTGGAGTCAAAGTTAAATGAAGCAGCGCTTCACAGGCTGGATTCTAGGATAGCATAGACCTGCTGATTATAGAATGGCATTTTAGTTTCTACTCCCTCCTGACTCCATAGACCTGCTGATTTCCACTTCTATTCAGTTTATTTCTATATCTCCAATTCACATCATGTCATCTCAGGTCCCTTTATAGATCCAGATCAACCAGATCATCCAGTCAGATTGATACAAAGTTTTCTATCTAAGGAAAACCAGCTGATTGCATCGACTCATTGACTCTTCAGCAATCCCTCACACTAAGCATGCTTGTAGCGACAGTGGAGAGGAAAAACTCCCTTTGAACAGGAAGAAACCTCCAGCAGAACCAGGCTCAGTGTGAGCGGCCATCTGCTGAGGCCCACTGGGGTTCAAGGAGACAGAAGCAGACATAGAAAAAGAAGCATAGATACAAAAGGCAACTGTCAACCAGCTCCACAGGCGGCCCCGTCCAGGAAACACACAGCCAGGCAGACGAGCTCCGAGCCAGCTCCCATGTCAGAGGATGAAGAGAGCACATCCAGTTAGTCACAGTCAGAGAAACAGGACTACACTGGAAAACAGGCCAAGCTCCATCATAGACCTGCTGATTTTAGAAGGAGCTTTTAGTTTCCACTCCCTCCTGACTCCATAAATGAAAAAGTGGATTTCTAAGCAGAAATGAAGTGAATCAGAGAGTCGGCGCTGATCTCTGCTTGCAGGTTGGTGGAGGAGGTGAAGCAGAAATGTTCCGGCGTCCAGCTGCAAAACGAGGACGTCTACATGGCCACCACCTTCCAGGACTTCATCCAGATGTTTGTCCGCAAGCTTCGAGGCGAGGACCAGGAGGAGGAGCTGGTGGTGGACTATGTGAGGTCATCGCCTGCAGACGACCGTCCAGCTGCCGCTGCAATCTCACACTTCCTGTTTTTCCCTTCAGGCGACTAAAGAAGTGAACAACATGACGGTGAACATGCCGTACCAGTGCTTCATCGACGGAAGGTTTGAGGACGCCGAAAACGGGAAAACATACGACACCATCAATCCTACGGACGGATCAGTAAGTCTGAGGACGGTGCGTCCAGGACGCCGCGGCGGCAGCTTTTACTCCAACCCTCCGTTTCCCCACAGGTGATCTGTAAGGTGTCGTACGCCTCGGTGGGAGACGTGGACCGCGCCGTCGCTGCCGCCAGAGAAGCTTTTGAAAACGGCCCCTGGGGCAGGATGAACCCCAGAGACAGAGGAAGTCTGCTCTATCGGTCAGTAGCTCCCCCTAGTGGAAACATTTAGTTAAAATCTCTGTTTATATTTCATTCAGCAGCCATGATGGTTTTATCTGAAATTAATCCAGTTCAGCTCTAAAGTTATAAAGTTGACATTTGAAGGTTTCTGTTTGAGGAAATGAATTAAAGAGTTTACTAGTAAATAACCCCCCCCCCTCCCCCAGGCTGGCAGACCTGATGGAGGAGCACCAGGAGGAGCTGGCCACCATCGAGTCCATCGACTCCGGAGCCGTTTACACGCTCGCCCTGAAAACTCACGTGGGAATGTCCATCCAGACGTTCCGATACTTCGCAGGCTGGTGCGATAAGATCCAGGTAGAGTGGACGAGTCGTAGCTTTGATCTGAGAGCAGGAGGCGGAGTTTGATGGAGGTTTGGTTTGTTCTGCAGGGAAAGACGATCCCCATCAACCAAGCTCGACCCAACAGGAACCTGACCTTCACCAGGAAGGAGCCTCTGGGGTAGAGCTGTGATGCTGCGGCACGCCGACCCGCCGCCATTCATCTCTCTCACGCTGTTTGTTTTCTCCGTGTCTCAGAGTCTGCGCCATCGTTATCCCATGGAACTACCCTCTGATGATGCTGGCCTGGAAGAGCGCCGCCTGTCTGGCGGCGGGGAACACTCTGGTCCTGAAACCCGCCCAGGTGACTCCTCTGACCGCCCTGAAGTTTGCTGAACTTTCGGTAAAAGCCGGAATCCCTAAAGGAGTCATCAACATCCTGCCAGGCTCCGGTAAACTTAGCGTTAGCGCTAAATCCATTAGCCGTGCCGAGAGCGCCGTGTCATTGGCTGTTTCTACCTGCAGGGGGCATGGTGGGGCAGAGACTCTCTGACCACCCAGACATCCGGAAGCTGGGCTTCACAGGCTCCACCCCCATCGGTAAACAGATCATGAAGAGGTAACGTGCCGCCGCCGCCGCCTCGCTGCGATGCGTGTTCCTGTCCTGACCGGTTCTCTCTGGCTCCTCCCTCCAGCTGTGCGCTCAGTAACCTGAAGAAGGTCTCCCTGGAGCTGGGGGGCAAATCCCCCCTCATCATCTTCAGCGACTGCGACATGGACAAGGCTGTTCGCATGGTGAGATGTTGGTTGGACAGGAAGCTCCTTCCTCTGTTAGTCTTCATGGTGTGGATGAAGGATGTAGAATGGCCTCTATAATCCCGGTCTATAATCCCGGTCTGTCATCCTTGGTCTGTCATCCCGGTCTGTAATCCCGGTCTGTAATCCTGGGTCTGTAATCCCAGTCTGTAATCCCGGTCTGTAATCCTGGGTCTATAATCCTGGGTCTATAATCCTGGGTCTATAATCCTGGGTCTGTAATCCCGGTCTGTAATCCCGGTCTGTAATCCCGGTCTATAATCCTGGGTCTGTAATCCTGGTCTGTAATCCTGGGTCTATAATCCTGGGTCTATAATCCTGGGTCTGTAATCCCGGTCTATAATCCCGGTCTGTATTCCCGGTCTGTAATCCCGGTCTATAATCCCGGTCTGTAATCCTGGGTCTGTAATCCCGGCCTGTAATCCTGGGTCTATAATCCCGGTCTATAATCCCGGTCTGTAATCCTGGGTCTATAATCCCGGTCTATAATCCTGGGTCTGTAATCCCGGTCTATAATCCCGGTCTGTATTCACGGTCTGTAATCCCGGTCTATAATCTCGGTCTGTAATCCTGGGTCTATAATCCCGGTCTATAATCCCGGTCTGTAATCCTGGGTCTATAATCCCGGTCTATAATCCTGGGTCTGTAATCCCGGTCTATAATCCCGGTCTGTAATCCTGGGTCTATAATCCCGGTCTATAATCCTGGGTCTGTAATCCCGGTCTATAATCCTGGGTCTATAATAGCGGTCTATAATCTCGGTCTATAATCCCGGTCTATAATCCCGGTCTGTAATCCTGGGTCTATAATCCCGGTCTATAATCCCGGTCTGTAATCCTGGGTCTGTAATCCCGGTCTATAATCCTGGGTCTGTAATCCCGGTCTATAATCCTGGGTCTATAATAGCGGTCTGTAATCCTGGGTCTGTAATCCCGGTCTATAATCCTGGGTCTGTAATCCCGGTCTGTAATCCTGGGTCTGTAATCCCGGTCTCCTGTCTGCAGGGGATGAGCTCGGTCTACTTCAACAAGGGGGAGAACTGCATTGCTGCAGGACGGCTGTTCGTGGAGGAGTCCATCCATGATGAGTTCATCAGCAGGGTGGTGCGTCTACCTCCACATTAACGGGGGGGTTTCCAGGCTCCGCCCCTTTCTGCCCACACCTGGCAGACAGAAGCGTTTTGCTTCCATCTTTTATTTCTGTCGGTCTTTGAACGATTCCAGGTGGAGGAGATCAAGAAGATGAAGATCGGCGATCCTCTGGAGCGCTCCACAGACCACGGCCCGCAGAACCACAAAGCCCACCTGGACAAGCTGCTGGAGTACTGCGACACAGGTGTGAAGGAGGGAGCCACGCTGGTGTACGGGGGCAAGCAGGTGGACAGGCCAGGTAGGAGGCGGAGCTTACTGGGCCCGGGTGCCGAGGGGGAGGGACCTTCACTCTGCGTCTCTCCTTCTCCTGCAGGGTTCTTCATGGAGCCCACCGTCTTCACCGACGTGGAGGACCACATGTTCATCGCTAAGGAGGAGTCCTTCGGACCCGTCATGGTCGTCTCCAAATTCAAAGACGGGTGGGTTAGCCGTAGCTTTCTGTTGTTGCGGCGCGTCACGTATTAACCTGTCCTTCCCTTCGGTCGGACACAGGGACGTGGACTGCGTGCTTCATAGGGCCAACGACACCGAGTACGGCCTGGCGTCGGGCGTCTTCACCCGGGACATCAACAAAGCCATGTACGTCAGCGAGCGGCTGGAGGCCGGAACCGTCTTCATCAACACCTACAACAAGACCGACGTGGCCTCGCCGTTCGGAGGCTTCAAGCAGTCTGGCTTCGGCAAAGACCTCGGTCAGTGGGAACGCTTACGTCATTTCCTTCCTTTTCCGTCTGCTTCCAGGAAGCGTCTAACGTCTTCCTGTCTCGCCTCCAGGAGAGGACGCTCTGTCGGAATACCTCAAAACCAAAGCAGTGACTGTGGAGTACTGAGGCCGTTCCTTCCACTGTCACCGGGATCTACCAGCAGCCGGAGGCGACTGGGCTCCTCTAGGGAATATCAGGCAGATGAGGAAGAACGGAGGAAGTTTCAGGCCTTCCTGTTATCAGGATGGAGGGAAATTCACCCTTCTCTCTTCCTTTTCTCAGCGCAGCACAAACCAGCCATTCTTCATCCTCAGACGAAGTGAATGTTTTTATGGCCCAGCGTGTCTGAATGGGTTTTTAATCCGATCTAGCTCCGCCCCCTATGGAGTGAATACACGTCCATTATTATTGCAAGCAAAGAAAATCTGTTTTAAATGAAAAATAGTAAAGAAATCCAGGAGTTAAATTACTAACATCTTACTCAAAAAAGGTTTTGAGGGGTTTCTATTTAGAATTTATTTTAAATTTTTCTTTTTCAAGAATTTTTTTAAAGATTTTATATCATTAGATTTTATTTATTTTTTCAGATTAAAAAGTTTTCTTTACTTCAAGCCAAACGCTCGGTGGCTAACGCCCAGCAGACCAATAGAAACGCGTTCGCTCTCCTCCAGAGGTGAAAATAATGCAAACATTTTAAACTCAATTCTTAAAACATTTGAAAAATGCAATACATAAAAAAAAATTTGAACAAATAAAATGTTAAAACATAAAAAAAAGAAATAAAACAATTAAGAAAAATAATATTTGAGAAAAAACAAATATACGTTAATCTTTTATTTATGGACTAAAGTTTCTATATTTCCATTTACAAACTGCTGTCTGCTTGCACCAATAATGGACCAGAGTTCACTCCATAGCCTGCACCATCCTGCAGTCTGAGCGTAAAGCAAACGGCCGTTAATGAGTGAACAGTTAATGAGGGAACGCAGCTCGTTAAGGAAACCCTGAATAAAGGGCGGTTTCCATGTTTGATTTATTGTCCTTGTTGCCCCTTGATAGAATGGCGCCATGTGCAGAGAGCCACGTCTCCCACTGAGGGCAGCTGCAACATTATTTAATGACAAAGATAATATATCTAAAAAGCTCTTAAAAATAAATTTTTACTTTTTTTTTTTTTCTTCCATGATTTTCTGGATGTTTTAAATACTGTGAACGGTGCAAAAGCCCATGGAACAGCTAGCTTAGCTTAGAACCCCTAGCTTAGCTTTGAACGGCTAGCTTAGCTTAGAACCCCTAGCTTAGCTTGGGACGGCTAGCTTGGTTCAAAACAGCTAGCTTAGCTTAGAACCCCTAGCTTAGCTTGGGACGGCTAGCTTAGCTTGGGACGGCTAGCTCAGTTCAAAACGGCTAGCTTAGATTAGAACCCCTAGCTTAGCTCAGAACCCCTAGCTTAGCTTGGGACGGCTAGCTTGGTTCAAAACAGCTAGCTTAGCTTAGAACCCCTAGCTTAGCTCAGAACCCCTAGCTTAGCTTGGGACGGCTAGCTTAGCTTGGGACGGCTAGCTCAGTTCAAAACGGCTAGCTTAGATTAGAACCCCTAGCTTAGCCTGGACTGGCTAGCCTAGCTCAGAACCCCTAGTTTAACTTGGGACGGCTAGCTCAGTTCAAAACGGCTAGCTTAGCTCAGAACCCCTAGTTTAGCTTGGGAAGGCTAGCTTAGCTCAGTCTGATGCCTCAGCTAGCTTGGTCTTTTCTAATGTCGCCCCATGTTAGCCTCTTAGCTTCAACCCTTCTTTGCAAATGTATAAAAGGAGCCTTTTCTTTTAAAGGGATTTCTTTGTAACAGTTTTTTACGAATTGAGGATTAAAACATGTCAAAGTTTTAAATATTCTGATGTTTTATTAGTTGTGTAAAATGACGTTGCAGCCATTACTAAGGCGAGGCGTTAAAAGGCAGCAGAAGGCGATGAAGGACCGATTTCCACCAAATAAAGCGGAACTCTCAGCGTTCGAGGCTCTTTGTTAAATAAAAGGCTTAGAAAAGAGTTAATAACATTTTTAGTATGGAGCTAAATCACTCTGTTTTCCCAAATACACGTTCAGACATGAACACAACAAGATCTAAAGTGGTCCCACATGGAGTATTTATGATTGGTTGCAAACAATCACTGCTTAAAAAAATGCATCTGTGTATCGAGGAACGACAGAGAAGTTCAAAGACCACTGGTGCTTTGAAAATTAATCTATAATTGTTTATGGAGCAGAAATGCTTTGGCGAATCGTGTGACGTGGCTGAGGATCTATCTCGTGTGTGTGTGTGTGTGTGTGAATCACACGTGTGTATTGGTGAAAACAGACAGATCTGACTCCATATTTTAGGTCCAGTGATGCGTTCTGAACCAGGTGGACCAAAGTGGGGGAATGAGGTCATCACTTTAACATCATTATAGTTTCAGACGGATTTCTATTTATTTCTCAGTTTATAAGCAGCTTCCACTAAAACTGATTTAAATTGATAAAAGGTTCAAAAATAGGCTTTAGATGATCAGAAATTACTTTAATCTAGGAAATAATTTCCTAAATGTAAAATCATTGATTTGTCCTTTAAAGACGGTTCATGTTTCAGAGTAACAGCAGAAGAAGAAGATCTCCTTAGTTTAAAGATTCTCTTTCAAACATATTATTCTGCAGTCCAGACATGTTTCCTTTCATCCTGCTATAAGCACCGCTGCAGTAAACGCTGAAACATTTACAAAAATCATTTCATTAGAATCATTTTTATGTTATAAACACAGAATCTAGAAAAACAAAATGGCGGCGTTGCTGTGAAACCGCTCTGATCGCCGTTTGGAGCAAACGGAAGATCTGAGCAGAACTTCTTCTCTGCAGCGCCGGAAGGATTCGGCTCTGAACGGATAAAATCATGGCGGAACTTTGAGCCGCTTCAGGACGCCCACAACATCACACCCCCTCTGCTGTACTGCGGCGTCCGTCCTCCACTGGTTCTCACTCCTATTTTCAATCCTACGAAAACTGAAATTAAAACAGTTTTTCTTCTTTGAAATAAGGAAAGAAACTCTTTCACATCACAGATAATTGAAAGAGTCCACGTTTAGAAGAAATGCGTTCAGGTTTGGGCCGAACCACAGCGGAGGGGTCAGCCTAAATTAGGTAATCCCAGCATCTGCCCCAGATTATACAGGTACATGAAAAATCTCCCATAGGGATTATGACATCGTGACGTTCTCCACAGCGGCGTTCTGCTGGGAGGTCCTTCAGGCCGTCTAGTCCAGGACCTGGATGTTGGCTTTCTTCTTCCCTCGCTCTCCGGGGAGTTTGAGGTTCTGCTCGGTGATCTCTGCGCCGACGTCATCAGAGTCCGACTCCGACGTCTCCTCCGTGTCTTCGGATTCGCTGTCCGACTCGTTCAACTCCACCACAGCGACGTCCTGGACAGATAGGAGACAGAGTCTGGATTCACACCTGGACCGTACGCACAGACGGCGGCCATCTTTCCCATCACACAGACACTGTTCTCCAAAATAAAACTATTCTGAATTGTTTAATCTCTGTTTAACACTAAAATGAATGTTATAAATGTTTAAACTCCATGAAATGCCTCCTGAAGGCTGACGGCCGCTGCCACCACGGCCGCCGCCGCCGCTCAGAGGATCAGCAGAAGTCATGGAAAGCTTCAGTTTACAGAAATCACTGAAACGCCTCATTAATCCTCAGATTGGCTTCTGCTCCAAACACCAGCACCATCTAGTGGCCACATGTAACCCTACACCTGTTTCAATCAACAGGACAGAACAAGTGAATGTATGGAGTAAACTTTGTTCCATTATTGTTGTGAGCAAAGAATTCGTTCTAAAACTGGACATTTCTTTAAAAAAATAAAAAAAAATGCAAAAAAAAAAAAAATGAATTGAAATCAATCTCACTGTTTTCTGTGGTTTTTCATAATTATTTCAAACATTATTTTACTTAGTTTTTATTATTTGTTTAATCCCTTCTTCCAGTTTTTCATTTTTAAGTATTTTTTTTTTAATAGCAATTTGGAAAAAATCCAGAAATTAAACTTTTAAAAATGTTTTGATCAAAAAAGGTTTTAAGAGCAGTATTATTGCTTTAAAAAAAAAAAAAAAGGAATAATTGGGCCGAGTTAAAAACTTTTCTACATTTTAGTAAAGTGCAGGGTTTGTAAATATACTGATTTGAGGACGATTGATCTCCGTTTATTTAAAGCAGAGCAAATACTTCAATACTTTTTTACCACTACAACGTCCAACTGCTTTGTTTTATCTTTACGTGATTTATTTTATTGTTTTAATCCTGTAGAGCAATTTATTAATATAATAAACCTGGCTTGCCTTTCGTTAGCGCCCTGCTAATAGCATCCTGAGGTTTTTGTAACCGGGCCTCAGAAATCTGACATCAGAGCTTCTAAACAGGCAGAAACTTGATCTTCTTAACATCTGCTGTTAGAAAAAACGCTTCCCAGAGAAAAAAAACATCCTAAAGTCTTTATTTTCTGATTTCTTTCTAAGATCAAAGCCGTTTTTCCACGATTGGCTCTTTTAACGCCACTAGCTGCAAACGCCACGTCTCCATTTTAAACAGCAGCCTCAACGCAGAACAAAAACATTTTATGGATTTTTTCAAAAACTTTGCAGAATTTTTTAATAATATTTTCTTTTTATTCAAAACCTTTTAAAGAATCAAAGATGAGTTTTCTTTCTCCGTTAAACGACTTTTATCTTCATGTTGCGTTTAAACTTGGACGACTTTTATCGCCATGTTGCGTTTAAACTTGGACGACTTTTATCGTCATGTTGCGTTTAAACTTGGACGACTTTTATCGCCATGTTGCGTTTAAACTTGGACGACTTTTATCGTCATGTTGCGTTTAAACTTGGACGGCTTTTATCGTCATGTTGCGTTTAAACTTGGACGACTTTTATCGTCATGTTGCGTTTAAACTTGGACGACTTTTATCGTCATGTTGCGTTTAAACTTGGACGACTTTTATCGCCATGTTGCGTTTAAACTTGGACGACTTTTATCGCCATGTTGCGTTTAAACTTGGACGACTTTTATCGTCATGTTGCGTTTAAACTTGGACGGCTTTTATCGTCATGTTGCGTTTAAACTTGGACGACTTATCGTCATGTTGCGTTGAAACTCAGAACTTATCGTCTTATTTGAAACTTGGACGACTTTTATCGTCATGTTGCGTTTAAACTCAGAGAACTTATCTTCATGTTGCGTTCACTGTGTTTCTAAAACAAACAGCGTTCCGAACGTTTCTTAAAGTGCAGCAGTGATCGGATGTGGACGGCGAGGGAATAAAAGCTAAACTCACCATCTCTATGATGCTTTCAGCCTGGTCCACATTCTCTATGTCAAAGCGTCCCTCAGGAGCCGCCGCCATCTGCTGCTGGAGCTTCTGATTGGCTGCGGCCATCTGAGGCAGAAAGCTCTGCAGGCGCTGCAGGACTGACACCAACCAAACAAACATGTCATCCCTCTGATCCTTCGCTCACGTTCATTTATGGTCTGACATCACAGGACGGAGTCTCACCGCTGCTTCTCGGAACTCGCTCTGTCTGCAGGGACCCGGCGGCGGCAGCGGCGGCTCTGGGCTTCAGGAGGAGCTTCTCACTGAGACCTGAAAAATTAGAACAGCTGATTGAATAGAAATAGAAGCTTAAATAGGAATAAAACAATAAAACCCAATAAAGACAGAAGCAGAGCATCGTGTTTAATAAACTGCTGGGCTGAATTACCCAGAAATCAACAGGAGGAAGAATAAAGAGGCTTTAGAAATCTGACTGCTTTCAAACCAGAACCTGATGTTTCATAAAATAAAATAAAAACAGAATAAATTCCAACAATCAGATTATTTTAAAAAGAAGCCTCTTTATTCAGAGTCTCATTCTGACCCCCTGCAGCACAGACCTCTACAGAGCTAGCTGCCTGAAGCTGCAAAGACATTTTCAACATTTACCAGATTCTACAGAACCAGATCAGAACCTGAACCAGAACAGATCAGAACCAGAACAGAACCAGAACTAGAACAGATCAGAACCAGAACTGGAACCAAATCAGAACCTGAACCAGAACTAGAACAGATCAGAACCAGAACAGAACCGGAACCCTGACTGATTGGACTTTATTAGATTTATCAAACTAGATTTTCATCCTTGTATCAGGAAGTTAGCCGTTTAGCAGCTAAGGTGCTAACAGCAGATTTTAACAGGCTAATGTTGAAATAATTTACTTTAAAATAATCCGTTTGTTTCTAATCCTAATCCCCGTAAATCTCCGTTAGATTGTAATAAAAGTTTAGTTCCGCATCCAGAGGTTGATGAATTAAACATTAAAGTATTTCAGAAACATTCAGACCTCCGCCGCTTCCAACCGATAATAAGGATCCAGAATTTATTTTCTTTGAGTTTAAATCCATTTTAGAACATCAGACTTTTCCACTGGGCGCGTGCTTCACATGCAGCGACACACTTCCGGTCTGCACTAGTAAACACCCCCCCCTCTTCTTCTTCTTTCTCAGTTTTACTGCATAGCGACCTCTAACGGTAGGTTTTATTAGCGCCATCTGCTGGAGTCTGAACCAGAGCGTCTCCCTTTAATCTAAATTATTATAAATAAAAATGTTTAATTCCTTTAAAAATATTAAAACTGATTTATTTATATTATGATGAACTGATATTTTATAAAGTTTTAATGTTTCTATATCATATTTCCTAATTTCTTGTTTCAGCTTCTCTCTACTGACTGTAAACTTTTAACTATTAATTTTTAATGTTCTAATGTTTCCAGACTCACAGCTTCCGGTTGGATGTTTACTATCAAATGTAAACTTTTATTTAATCCAGTAATTCCAAGCTGTAATCTTGTCATTACTGATATTATTTCCATATTTCCTACTTTCTTTTGTGTATAAAATAAATGACTAACTTTAGTTCCTTCTTCCAACAATAGTTTCTATTCAGAATTAATTTGCTCTTAATAATTAATTATGATTAATTAATTAATATCATTATTATTATTATTTATCCTCTTCCTTCTTCTTCTTTATGGGTTTTTATCGGCGGCTGAAAACCAACGAAATGCTGCATTACCGCCACCTACTGGCATGGAGTGTGAATCTGATTGGCTGCTAATACAAAACAAAACAAGATTCAGATCGTCTCAATAACATTGATTAATCTGAGATGATGACAAAACAATTAAATAACACTTTTCTCTTGGGTTTCTAATGATTTATGTTAAATAAATGTCTATTCTTTCCTTTTAAAGGCTTTGAAGCATTTTGCTACTTTTTACGTCTCACAGTGTTTTGGCGCCCCCTAGCGTTCAGAAAGACATATGAAGCTAAATAAAAATATTTTAAACTTCAAATCTTGGCTGAGATCATTTAACAAAGAAACAATCACTAAAGATGTTTGTTGTTTTTGTTTTTCTCGCTGCAAACCAATTATCTATTAGCAAAGACAGCTAAAACAGTAGGAGGCATCACTCTGATATTTATTTAAAGGAAAGATCGCTATCTTCTAATTGGAAGAGTTTTGTTCTTATTTTAAGGCTGAAATTAAACACAAAGGTTGGCTTCTTTGTTTAAGGTTTTTCATTAGTCTTTTTGTTCAAATCAGTGTTTGAGCTGATTTTAATAAAGAAATAAGAATATTATGTTTAAACACGAGTTTCAATAAAAATTGTTTCCTGTGTGAAATTTAGCCCCACAGATAAAAGGTGAATGACTTGAAAACCAACTATTGTTTATCTAATATAAAACAAGTAGCATATATTTTAATAAAATGTTTATGACTTCAGAAACTCATGTTAAAAATGTTATTTTTATATATGACGTTATTTGGAATTTAAATCTGAAATATAAGAGATTAAGGCCCCTGATGCATTTGCAGTATCTCCCTTTTCCACTGCAGATAGAAAACCAAGTTTCCTCATGAAGTAGATCCGTTTCTGTCCTTAAAGGTTAATCTGGTTATTTTGCTCTAAATTGATGCATCATCAGTATAAAACAGATAAGATGCAGAAATATGAACTGATAAAGAGCAGAAACCACCAGCTGGCTGGTGGTTTCTGCCAGCCCCCCAGGGCGGTTCTAAACGGGGGGCAACACGGGGCCCCTATAGAACTGCCTCTGGCCCCTGAACTGAAAGCTGCACTGTAAATATTGAAATAAAGTCTTTTTATATCTTGCTTTAAGTGCTTCTATGGTTCGTTAAAAAAGGTGAAATTCTTAGTTTTATTAAAGTGGAAAAAAAACAAAAGATAAAATAAAGATATTCTTTGGAAAATGACTTGAATCTATATTTATGATTCAGAAACATTTGAAATGAAAATGATCCATTTAAATCAATTCAGAATTAAAATGAGTAAAACTGATGAAATCTTTGTTAAAACAGGAGTTTAAAGAGAAAATTATGTGAAAGGGATCAATCAGGTCGCTAGTGAACAGCAGCTCGGTACAGCTGGTTAGTGTCATGGCGTCAGAGCACCTGGGAGGGGGCGTGGCCAGAACTCCTCACCAGGGAGACGTCCAGGAGGCATCCTAACCAGATTCCACCTCAACTGGCTCCTCTCGATGTGGAGGAGCAGCGGCTCTACTCTGAGTCCTCCCTGGATGACTGAGCTCCTCCCCCTGTCTCTAAGTGAGAGCCCAGGCACACATTTCAGCCGCTTGGATCCGGAATCTCCTTCTTTCGGTCATGACCCAAAGCTCATGACCATAGATGAGAGGAGGAACGTAGATGGAGCGGTAAATCCAGAGCTTTGCTTTTTGGCTCAGCTCTCTCTTCACCACAACAGACCAGTATATCGCACGCTTCACAACAGACGTCGCACCAATCCGCCTATCCATCTCCATCTTCCCCTCACGCCTTAAACATTCGGAGGCACTGATCCTCATCCGGCTGCAGTGAAGCTGCAGATCAGGCTCTGAATAGAACCATCATCTGGAACAGCACAGACCAGATCCTGAAGCCACCAGAACGGATCCCCTCAATCCAATCTCTGGTTCAGGAGTAAAACTAAAAAATGTAAACTTATTTAAATTCAACGTGTTTGCCTTTAAACTGAGCAGAAAAATGACATAATCTGCCAGAGGAAGGAAGATTTTAAAGGGAAATAGCTGCTGTAGATTCAATGCACTTTAAATCTAAACATAAATCATCTTATTCCATCTGCAAATTCCCTTTCCTGTCCGCTTAAATCTAGTTTTTTTTTTTTACGTCTGTTTCAAGGAAAAAATGTCAGATTGAATTTTTGCAGGAGCCAGTTTCCCAGCAGCACCGCCCCCTGCTGGCCGCGTTTGCAGCTGCACCTCTTGCTGTATTTCCACAGCGAGTCATCGCTCCTGTTTCAGTGACGATCTTTGTTGGCACTGCTGTCTGTTCTGCATCTCTCCTCTGTGGCGAACAGGTAAGTCCTGGAAACACAGAAAAAACAACAAATAACCAAAACTAACTAAATATCAGATCTAAGGATCATTTATTAAAGTCTGTTGGACCGAACTGGACAAGATTTAATGAAAGAGGCGCGGAGAAGAGCTGCTGTCTAACTGTTTTCCCTCTGTTAGCAGCTAGCTAGCTGATGCTAACCTGCTAACAGCTGCTAGCCTCTTTCTTTCCTGCCTGTAAACAAACTAACTGCTTTTCTGTGATCATTGACGGTTGAACCGATTCTCAGAATCTGCTTCAACATTTAAAGAGTAAAACTGGTTAAAATAATCTTTAAATATCAGAGAAAATGATTCTGAGCTGAAATTCCTCTCTAATCATCTACTGGGTGAAAAATGTTGCCAAGAATCTGATTATAAAAGCAGCTTTTCGATTATTAACCTTTAATCCTATTTTATAACTTTAAGCATTTTAATGATCAACTGGAGAAGAAACAGAAAGTTTGAGAGTTTCTTCTTTTCCAGCTTAAAGTCTGTAAACATCAGTTTCCAGCTGATCCTCCTCCTCTGACTGACTGGTTTTACCGCCTGATTATCAGAAAAGAAGTCTGAAAATGAAGGGAGGCTCGTCTGTCAACAAGGGACATTTGTACAGGAGATCCGGAACCAAACATCAGGAACTAAACATCAGGAACCGAACATCAGGAACTAAACATCAGGAACCGAACATCAGGAACTAAACATCCTGAACTAAACATCCGGAACCGAACATCAGGAACCGAACATCAGGAACCAAACATCAGGAACCGAACATCAGGAACCAAACATCAGGAACCGAACATCAGGAACCAAACATCAGGAACCGAACATCAGGAACCGAACATCCGGAACCGAACATCAGGAACCGAACATCCGGAACCGAACATCATGAACCAAACATCAGGAACCGAACATCAGGAACTAAACATCTGGAACCAAACATCAGGAACCGAACATCAGGAACCAAACATCAGGAACCGAACATCAGGAACCGAACAACCAGGAACCGAACATCAGGAACCGAACATCCGGAACCGAACATCAGGAACCGAACATCCGGAACCGAACATCATGAACCAAACATCAGGAACCGAACATCAGGAACTAAACATCTGGAACCAAACATCAGGAACCGAACATCAGGAACCAAACATCAGGAACCGAACATCAGGAACCGAACAACCAGGAACCGAACATCAGGAACCGAACATCCGGAACCGAACATCAGGAACCGAACATCCGGAACCGAACATCATGAACCAAACATCAGGAACCGAACATCAGGAACCAAACATCTGGAACCAAACATCCGGAACCGAACATCCGGAACCGAACATCAGGAACTGAACATCAGGAACTAAACATCAGGAACCGAACATCAGGAACCAAACATCAGGAACCGAACATCAGGAACCGAACAACCAGGAACCGAACATCAGGAACCGAACATCAGGAACTGAACATCAGGAACTAAACATCAGGAACCGAACATCAGGAACCAAACATCAGGAACCGAACATCAGGAACCGAACAACCAGGAACCGAACATCAGGAACCGAACATCAGGAACTGAACATCAGGAACTAAACATCAGGAACCGAACATCAGGAACCAAACATCCGGAACCGAACATCCGGAACCGAACATCAGGAACCAAACATCAGGAACTAAACATCAGGAACCGAACATCAGGAACCAAACATCAGGAACCGAACATCAGGAACCGAACAACCAGGAACCGAACATCAGGAACCGAACATCCGGAACCGAACATCAGGAACCGAACATCCGGAACCGAACATCATGAACCAAACATCAGGAACCGAACATCAGGAACTAAACATCTGGAACCAAACATCAGGAACCGAACATCAGGAACCAAACATCAGGAACCGAACATCAGGAACCGAACAACCAGGAACCGAACATCAGGAACCGAACATCCGGAACCGAACATCAGGAACCGAACATCCGGAACCGAACATCATGAACCAAACATCAGGAACCGAACATCAGGAACCAAACATCTGGAACCAAACATCCGGAACCGAACATCCGGAACCGAACATCAGGAACTGAACATCAGGAACTAAACATCAGGAACCGAACATCAGGAACCAAACATCAGGAACCGAACATCAGGAACCGAACAACCAGGAACCGAACATCAGGAACCGAACATCAGGAACTGAACATCAGGAACTAAACATCAGGAACCGAACATCAGGAACCAAACATCAGGAACCGAACATCAGGAACCGAACAACCAGGAACCGAACATCAGGAACCGAACATCAGGAACTGAACATCAGGAACTAAACATCAGGAACCGAACATCAGGAACCAAACATCCGGAACCGAACATCCGGAACCGAACATCAGGAACCAAACATCAGGAACTAAACATCAGGAACCGAACATCAGGAACCAAACATCAGGAACCGAACATCAGGAACCGAACAACCAGGAACCGAACATCAGGAACCGAACATCCGGAACCGAACATCAGGAACCGAACATCCGGAACCGATCATCATGAACCAAACATCAGGAACCGAACATCAGGAACTAAACATCTGGAACCAAACATCCGGAACCGAACATCCGGAACCGAACATCAGGAACCGAACATCAGGAACTAAACATCAGGAACCGAACATCAGGAACCAAACATCAGGAACCGAACATCAGGAACTAAACATCAGGAACCGAACATCAGGAACCGAACATCAGGAACCGAACATCAGGAACCGAACATCAGGAACCGAACATCAGGAACCGAACATCAGGAACTAAACATCAGGAACCGAACATCAGGAACCAAACATCAGGAACCGAACATCAGGAACTAAACATCAGGAACCGAACATCAGGAACCGAACATCAGGAACCGAACATCAGGAACCGAACATCAGGAACCGAACATCAGGAACCGAACATCAGGAACCGAACATCAGGAACCGAACATCCGGAACCGAACATCAGGAACCAAACATCAGGAACCGAACATCAGGAACTAAACATCTGGAACCAAACATCCGATGAAGCGTTTTTAAACCTGAAACAGCTGATCAAAGTTCAGAGTTGGAAAGAAAATGGTAACTTTGAGTCTTTGCTGCTGAACGACCAAATAAGGATTAAAAAGATCAAACTTTTTGACTCATGGCAGCTTAGAATGGCCCCTAAGACAGAGTGCTGGAGCACGGTGGTGGCAGGGTCATGATCTGTGCTACAGCTCCATAACAAAAAAGCGAACCTCTAGTCGTTATGCAGACTTTCATGTTGTTTTATTCTGTGCATTTTTAACCGTTTTGTTGTTGTCTGCGTCCCAGCGAGCCGGAGCCGCTCCGCCTTCTCCTGGTTCTGAGCGGCGATGAGGAGAGATGAGACGCTGCAATCCTAGAGGCCGCCATGAGCATGAAGAGCTTAGCAGGAGCCTTAGGGGAATCCCTGGGCTCTAGCCTGACGGTGCGTATGAGCGGCGGATGGAGCGCTCTCCCCCTCAAACACGGACCCTCGCTTCGTCTCGGCTCCATTTTCCAAACCATGGTTCCGACGGGTTACGGCAAACTGCAGGAGGATCGATTAGCCATGGTTGACCTGGGAGGAAAAGGCGACGCCAGCTCGCTTCAGAACGGCTACAGACAGGAAGCGCCTCACGCTGACGGCAGGCGCATCCTGGAGCGCACCTCCCGGTCCTCCCTGACTCTGACCGACTGTGGAGACGGGGGCTGCTCCGAGGCGGAGCCCATGCTGGCGGAGTGGAGGCTGTCCGGGGAGGACGCCAGCGACGAGCAGGAAGAGGATGAGCAGGAAGCAGCGGGGCCCGGGGCGTCAAACATGCCCAAAGAGTCGCCGCTGGCCATGACTCTGCAGATCGTGGTGCCTTTCCTCCTGGCTGGCTTTGGGACGGTGTCGGCCGGAATGGTGCTGGATATTGTTCAGGTAAACCAGACGCACGGTTTAAAACGTCTCTCTGAAAAGTGCGGCTTGCTTTTATCCTCGCTGACCCCTCAAAGAGCGGCTGATGTCGATTCGATTCTCAGTGTAAACGCCGCACGGCGTGGACAAGGAATCCTGCATGTGTGGGGATGGCCTAGTCAAAGTCCAGAGCAAAATCTGATAAGGATTGACCTATGGGGGGAATTTGTTCCATTATTGTTGCAAAGAAAACTTTTTGTAAAGAAAAAATGGAGGAACTTAAATCCAGAAGCAAAACTTTGAGTCTGAGAAAAAAACATTTTATTTTCTCATAAATTTTTTAATATATTATTTGATCAAACTTGATTTTTTTCAGAATCTTTATTACAGATAATATATTTATAGATAATATATTTTTCTTTTTCAGACAGTTTAACAAATTGCCTTCTTTTCAAATTGTGTTTAAAGATCATTTAAAGTTCGCTGTTGACCAATAAAGTCGCCGCTAACGTTCAGCAAACCAACAGGAATAAAGAGAAAAATGATGAGAAAATGTTTTCAAATACATGGAAAAAAAATCATATTCTGTAAAAAAAAAAAAAACATAAATTTTAAACTAAAAACAAACTTTTCTTCAGTAAGAAATTTATCAAAGTTTCATTTCTGGATATTTTTTTATTTTTTTTTAGATCTCCATTTATGTTTTTGCGCTAATAATGGCACAAAATTCTCCCCATAATCAATAATCCGATCACATCAGCACAGAATAAAAGCAGAGATCCACATCTCCATCTTTAAGATAGGCTTTTATTTTGAAATTCACAGAGAGAATCGGATGATTCCCGATCAGATCGATGATGTCGCATCGATCTGATCTTTGATCAACTAATACTGTTTTATTTTTTAATTTTTCTGCTCTATAAATTAAATGTAGTTTTTATTTATTTCTGCTGATGTTTCAGTGAAGATCAACCAGGATTCAGGTTTTCCAGGTGAATGAAGATATTTTCAGGTTTATTTATTGCATCCATGTTTGTTTCTTCTTCAGTTTGTTTTAAATTTTAGTTTCTCTCATTTATAAAACCCAACAGTTAAAAAAAAAAGCAGAAAGTTTTTAAGCTGTTCTTCTTAACTTTGGCTGAAAATGATGCAGAAACCAGTTTATGTCGTTAAATTTGCATTAATTCTATTTTTTTTCCGTTAATTAAACGTCTATGAAAGAATAAAACGTTAACCATGAAAGTCAAAGGGAGGAAATGAATGGCTGATTAAATGGACCAATCAGACGATATTAAGCAAAGTATCAGCCGGCCCATTTTTATCAGGCTGGAGAGGAGGGGCCCCAGGCCCCTGGCCCCTGCTGGCATCAGTGCGGGCCAGCAGAGCTGATAAACATTAAAACCAGGAGGAACCAAGGCTTCCGCTGGTTTATCGCTGCTTTTGTTAATATAATGTGAGTTTAGTGAGCAGGCGGAGCGTCGCTCAGATCGTCAAACACGCCGCCGTCCGTTATCTATGTTGACTCGGCCCCCGGCGACCGGCTCTTATCTGACGGGTGCTGAATGTCAGAGCGGGACGAGGTCAGATGTTTGACTCTTTGTTTTTCCCCGCAGCACTGGGATGCCTTCACCAAGATCACTGAGATCTTCATCCTGGTTCCTGCTCTGCTGGGCCTGAAGGGGAACCTGGAGATGACGCTGGCCTCCAGGCTCTCCACCGCCGTAAGTTTCCCACAGCGGCTTCCTTTGATTATCCAGTAAAAAGCTGCAGTCAGAGGGAGGCGGATGGATCATGGCTGCTGGGAAAGCAGAGCTTTTAAAACAGAGGGACAGGAAGACAGAGTTCACTTTTTCACCATTACTTGTGCTCCACCTCTAGTCGCATTCTTCCCACAATCAGGACATCAGTGATGTTTGACCAAAGACTGCGTCTGAATTTAAGTTCCGCCATTTTGAATCTGTGTTCCATCGCCTCCAGACGAAAAAGGAGTGGACTCAAAATTTCCCACAATGCACCTGGTGATCATCTGTGGTCACTAGGAGAGCAGATATATCCCACAATGCTTTGCAAGGACAGCTCTCCTCCTAAACACACAGTCTACTGTCTATATGCCGTATAGCTATGTTCTATAGATAGTATGTTTATATAGCATGTAACTATAGATCTAGAATATCTAGATTCTGTATTTATATCCTGTAGGCAGCAGTTCAGGGTTAACTGTAACCCTGCTGCTGCTCAGGAGTCAACTTTGATGCTTTTAATGTGGAAATTTTTAAATAGAAATTCAGAAAAAAAAACATTTTAAATTCAAATTTGGAAAAAACAAAACCGTCCAAAATAATCTGATGCATTCTGAATAAAAAATGTTTTCTGTTTTCTACGATTTTTATTTGATTTATTAATTTTCCTTTCATGTTTTTGTCCATTTTTATTTTAAAGCAATTTTTTTTCTAGATTTTTTTTTATTTCCAAATTGTATTTTTTATAAATTTTTTCAGCTTTAATGATTAATTTGTTTGAAGTTACGTTTTATAGATCTAACTGTTTTCACTTCAAACGCTCCTTCCTGACCAGAAACCACAAATCTATCAATCTGAGAAACAAAATTGAGAAAGAATTTAAAAAAAAGGAAAAAATAAAATTTTAAATGAGGAAATATTTATTTTGAAAATAAATAAAACAAATCTGAGAAAGCAGCAAAGTTCCTCTAAAAACACTTTTTTGAATTAAATTATTTTCTCGATTGTGTTTTTTTCAGATTTCAGGGCCTAAAAGTTTTATTGTTTCTTAGCTTGAACCAAAATGCACCAGAATTCGCTCCATATTAACCGATCTGATGTAAAACGATGAGCTCTGACAGCCGCTGCTAGCAGCTCTGTGACTCGTGGATGTTTTTGTCGTCCAGGTGAACGTTGGGAAGATGGACTCGCCCATCGAGAAGTGGAATCTGATCATCGGGAATCTGGCGCTGAAGCAGGTAATTATCCACACGCTGCTGCTTCAGGTTTATTCTGCTAATAACTTTACAGCAACCTGCTTCCATCTGTTCTGATAGACGTTGGTTTGAACTTTTTATTTTCTTTATTTTTAAAGAATAAAATCTGAAAAGTGTGGCATGCTTTTGTTTTCTTCCCTCCTGAATCCGTTAAGCTCGTCCTGCTTGTAGCCTGGATGGATGTTTGACGTCGTCGTTTTGCTTCATTTATCTTCTCGCGTTCTTCGACCAGCTGCCATCTTGGTTTTAACGAAGCTACCCCGGCAGCATGACACTGCCGCCACCTTGTCTCACCATAGAGACAGTTTGCTTAGCGGCGATGAGGAGTTTTAGATTTTGGTCTGAGGTTTCCTCCTCTGTTTGAATTTTGTTTGTTCTAGAAGTTGTTTCTAACTTGGGGAATTTTTTTTCCGAACCTATCGATGCACCGATCAATCAGCCGGCCGACCGATCCGCCTCGATTCCCTTCATTTCAGCCGATATTTAGGCGTGAAGCCAATCTTATCCTACGTTCTGGAACTCGGCCTGTTGGTGCTCTAAACGTTTCATCTATAATAGATTAGGAGTTTAAGATAAAAATCCATTCAGTCATATTCTGCTATATTTTACTAGACAATATTGGGATTTAAATTCTTAATAATTGATCTTAAATGTGTAAATATTTACAGGTAAACATCCATTTTATTGTTTTATTTTTAACCCTTAAACTCCAGAAAATTAAAGTTAGATTCCTACTGATCAAAATCTCACTCCTGGATGAACTGTAATAATATATTTTCTTAATTAGATTTTAGCAGCAGAAACTGAATTTCAGAAAGTAAAAAAATTTCTAGAAAGAATTAGTTTTATATAGAAATGTTTATACATTTTAAGTGGCCATTTTGACGTTTATCAGCTTGATTGAAAATGTGTTTAAGATCCATGAAATCCATTTCTTCATAATCAAAATAATACAAATGCTGACCAGAAATATTAGGAAATTGTTTGAAATTGGAAAAAATGTTTTCTCCAGATATCAGGAATACATATTCAGTAAAACTAGTACATATCAAAATGGCTTGCCATATCCTGTTACTGTGAAAATATTCCGGGATTATTTCTGAATGGTGGATTAATGGATCTATTTAGGTGAAATCTTCTGTCAGCAGATGAAGAATCTATATTTCTAATCTATAGAACCTGTTCATCGTCTCATGGGTTCCTCCTCAGGTTGATTCTTTACTCAGTAAATAGTTTCTGTTTGCAGCCGCGCCTCAGATCTTATCATCCATCAATAAATGGAGGTTATTAGCGGCTATCAGGCCTCAGATTGCACCAGAAATAACAATAGAATGATATTAATGAAGGAAAAAACTTCTATGAAGGCAAAAACTACTGATAATCTTTGTAAAGTTAAACTAAAATGATTGAGCTTAAATACTGAGGTGTGCTTATAAAAAAAAGTAGAATATGAAAAGATGCTGCAAAGCGACATGAGGTCACGTTTTATTCTTACAATAAATACACGATAAATAGCGAAGATCCGATAAAACTCATATCAGATTTTATTGGCCGGCTTCTAAAATCTTTTTTCATGCTGATATAAACAAACACATCTTTTTCTCATGACTTTTCTTCCCTTTTTTTGTAATATTACTTCATCAAGACTTTTCTAACATTCTACATTATAAAATAAGTCCTAAAAGTGGATTAATTCTAATGCGAGATCAATATCGGTAATGTTCTATTGTCTAAGCTGGAATATCGCTGACGTATTGGAAATGAAAAGTTATGTTAGGACACCCCTAACAATAAATATTTAATATCATCATTATCTTTTTTTTATATATATATATTTTTACAACACTAGTGGTTCGTTTTATGGACAGTAAGCTGGGTGAGAGAGGGGGAGAGTGATGCGGTAAAGGACCGCCGGCTGGATTCCAACCCTGGTCGCCCGCGTTGAGGACTAAGGGTCATTGCGCTAACCGCTGCGCCACCACAGCACGCCATCCTTTCTGGCTTCCATCTTCATGGCTTAGAACATCATCTTTCTTTACAGCCAAAATGCTTTCTGCTCATTTTAAAGGGATTTAGCTGCAACATTAAAGATATTTTTTGAAGGTTATTTATGTCACTTATCAATTTTCTTTCATTAAGGAGAAAATAAACATAATTATAATAATAATAAAAAATGTATCATTATTTTTTAATATAAAAGAATATTTTTTTTAATATTTAAACCAGGATTTCCCCTTTTAAGCCTAATTGCTCCAGAAGGCAAATCAAATGTTTCATTAATTTATATTATTATAATAAATTATTTAAATCATGGAAGTCACAGATTTGAATGGTTGTTATTTTTCAAATGATTTTCTTTATTTTTTCACATTAACTGATGTTTCTGTTCTAATCGTCGCGGTTAGAGTAATGACATCATCAGCTGGGATGTAATGTGGCGTGGACGCCATGCTGCCGTATTCTACCTGCCTGAGCTGTTTTCTCCTGTCCTGAGCGGCCATTAGCGGCGTGGCTAATCATCCACCTCAGCGCCGCTAAACACACAGGCTGATGCGTCACTGCAGGACGGCGGCTTGTTTGTTTGCCTGGTTGTGCAACAGCAGCACAAACGATCCTGGGACGCTGCGCCCTGCGCTGCAGAAAGAGGTCAGCTGTGTTTTGATTAATGCTCGCGTGTTTTTCCGCCCCCAGGTCCAGGCCACCGTGGTGGGATTCCTGGCAGCCGTAGCGGCCGTAGTGCTGGGTTGGATCCCAGAGGGGAAGTTCCAGATGAGCCATGCGGTCCTGCTGTGCTCCAGCAGCGTGGCCACGGCCTTCATAGCCTCCATGCTGCAGGGTAAACACCGCCTGCACAAACTGTTTTATTTTTATTTTAATAAGTCGAGGAAATCTATCCTCCAGCAGCACGCCCATCCTGTAACATCTGCTTTTTATAAATCTAGTTAGAATTAAATTGCTCAGATTACAGTTTTTTTTTTAAATAGTTTATAATTTAGTATTTTTTATCATCTATATTTTTCATTTTTTTATTTAATTTTTCATTGTGTGTTTCTTTAGTGAAAGAACAGATAAAGCCATAAATAGAGCTCAGTTGGATCCAGTAAATTCTGCTGCCGTCTTGCTTTGCTTCAATGTGCTGACAGCAGCTTCCTCCTCCTCCTTCAGGTATCATCATGGTCGGGGTAATTGTGGGTTCGAAAAAGACCGGCATCAATCCCGACAACGTGGCCACGCCCATCGCGGCCAGCTTTGGTGACCTCATAACCCTGGCCATCCTGGCCTGGATAAGCCAGGGCCTCTACAGCTGTCTGGGTATGTAGCTAAGTGCTGCGTTCGCCAGCCGTTCACAGCCACAGAATATTCACCCTGCTCGTTTAGCCGTGCCGCTCGTTAGCTCACCATTTAGTTCAGACATATTATGCAACGTCTCTGGTTTTAACTGAACCTCCCTGAAGGAGACAATATGGCAAACCAGGTTTTTAGCATCTAGAGGGGATTTTAATAGTGACTTTAAATACAGATATTTTAGGAAACCGGGTGAAGAAAGGATAAGTTTGGAGAGTTGCTTTGTTGTGCAGTCGGATCACGCTCGGTGTAAACTCTGTTACATCAACTGATGTTTATTTGCCGAGTGTGAATGAGGTTTTTCCAAACAGGTTTCACTTCTAGTAAGAGGCTTTTAGCTGCATCTCTATACATATTTAATCATCACAAACAATCGCGTCAGTGTTGGCAGCCATAGTACTTCCTGGTTCCTTAGCCAATCGCATCAGGGTTGGTCAGTGTTGGCAGCCATAGTACTTCCTGGTTCCTTAGCCAATCGCATCAGGGTTGGTCAGTGTTAGCAGCCATAGTACTTCCTGGTTCCTTAGCCAATCAGATAAGGGTTGGTCAGTGTTGGCAGCCATAGTACTTCCTGGTTCCTTAGCCAATCGCATCAGGGTTGGTCAGTGTTGGCAGCCATAGTACTTCCTGGTTCCTTAGCCAATCGCATCAGGGTTGGTCAGTGTTGGCAGCCATAGTACTTCCTGGTTCCTTAGCCAATCGCATCAGGGTTGGTCAGTGTTAGCAGCCATAGTACTTCCTGGTTCCTTAGCCAATCACATCAGGGTTGGTCAGTGTTGGCAGCCATAGTACTTCCTGGTTCCTTAGCCAATCACATCAGGGTTGGTCAGTGTTAGCAGCCATAGTACTTCCTGGTTCCTTAGCCAATCAGATAAGGGTTGGTCAGTGTTGGCAGCCATAGTACTTCCTGGTTCCTTAGCCAATCGCATCAGGGTTGGTCAGTGTTAGCAGCCATAGTACTTCCTGGTTCCTTAGCCAATCACATCAGGGTTGGTCAGTGTTGGCAGCCATAGTACTTCCTGGTTCCTTAGCCAATCACATCAGGGTTGGTCAGTGTTGGCAGCCATAGTACTTCCTGGTTCCTTAGCCAATCAGATAAGGGTTGGTCAGTGTTAGCAGCCATAGTACTTCCTGGTTCCTTAACCAATCACATCAGGGTTGGTCAGTGTTAGCAGCCATAGTACTTCCTGGTTCCTTAGCCAATCACATCAGGGTTGGTCAGTGTTAGCAGCCATAGTACTTCCTGGTTCCTTAGCCAATTACATCAGGGTTGGTCAGTGTTAGCAGCCATAGTACTTCCTGGTTCCTTAGCCAATCAGATCAGGGTTGGTCAGTGTTGGCAGCCATAGTACTTCCTGGTTCCTTAGCCAATCAGATAAGGGTTGGTCAGTGTTGGCAGCAATAGTACTTCCTGGTTCCTTAGCCAATCGCATCAGGGTTGGTCAGTGTTGGCAGCCATAGTACTTCCTGGTTCCTTAGCCAATCAGATAAGGGTTGGTCAGTGTTGGCAGCCATAGTACTTCCTGGTTCCTTAGCAACACATCAGGGTTGGTCAGTGTTGGCAGCCATAGTACTTCCTGGTTCCTTAGCCAATCAGATAAGGGTTGGTCAGTGTTGGCAGCAATAGTACTTCCTGGTTCCTTAGCCAATCACATCAGGGTTGGTCAGTGTTGGCAGCCATAGTACTTCCTGGTTCCTTAGCCAATCAGATAAGGGTTGGTCAGTGTTGGCAGCAATAGTACTTCCTGGTTCCTTAGCCAATCAGATAAGGGTTGGTCAGTGTTGGCAGCCATAGTACTTCCTGGTTCCTTAGCCAATCAGATAAGGGTTGGTCAGTGTTGGCAGCAATAGTACTTCCTGGTTCCTTAGCCAATCAGATAAGGGTTGGTCAGTGTTGGCAGCCATAGTACTTCCTGGTTCCTTAGCCAATCAGATAAGGGTTGGTCAGTGTTGGCAGCAATAGTACTTCCTGGTTCCTTAGCCAATCAGATAAGGGTTGGTCAGTGTTGGCAGCCATAGTACTTCCTGGTTCCTTAGCAACACAAATCAAATGAACATTTTGCCAAATAAGAATGAAAGAATCTCCATCAGATCCAGTGGTGCTTCACACACGGCTATGCAGAGAGAGGGCCGCTGCTGACCTTCTGTGGCAAACAGTCATGGTTGAAGCTCTTCTGGATATCTGTGCATCCAGCGGTCATCTCCATGAATGCTGGAGACGGTTTGGAGCAGTGGCCCCCGCCCCTGATGGCTGCTTTCCTGGAGCCTTTAGATGCGTCTCTGTTTTAAAACATCCGACTCCAACATGAGCTGATTAGCATAGCTTTGCTGCTAATGAAGCGGTTTAATTCAGATGTTGGGAAAGCAGCAGATGTAAATGATCCGGATCAACATTCCTCCAGGACTGAACTTTGAGGCTGCTGGCCTGAAGGCTGAGAGAAGCTGGACACTTTCTCATTGGCTTGTTTCACATTTAGCTTTTAATAACGTTAATATTGTCACAGTAAACTGAATTTAGTGTTTTTAAATATCTGTAAGCCATAGTTATCATTCAAAGAAATGATTTATAGATCTAATCCTGTAGCCTGCTAGTGGAACGCTGGCGCCCCCTAGTGGTTGCTCACACTATGACGTTTTTATGCTGTTTGCACTGATTATTATTATTATTGTTCATTTTAATGGGGATGAATGTGTTCACTGTGAGCGTTCAGGCGAGGCAGCAGGAGGTATTGCTGCTTCAGAGAACCATTCATGTGGAAAGCAGAACTCAAAGTTATTTCTAATAAATTAGTTTTTGTTACTGAATGTTTTGCTTTTTGCTCTTTAATTGGAGAATAATTTATAACTAAGAATGACTTGAAAAGGTTCTTCTACCTTTGGGGCCGTTTATTGGCTTTTATTGTGTAACAGGAGGTGAGCAGGAGGCTGCTTTCATGAGCCGATATGTGATTTTTATCTCCTTCACAGACTCTCATCCCTACGTGTCTTCTTTGGTGTGCGCCGCCTTCATGTCTCTGACTCCTCTGTGGATGGTCATTTCCTCCAAGCACCCTGCCAGCCGCACGCTGCTGTACTCCGGCTGGGAGCCGGTCATCACCGCCATGGTCATCAGCAGGTGGGTTTCTGCAGAGACATGAACCTGAAGGGCTGTTTGACCCCTGGAGCCTCCTCACATCCAGCCTTTGGTTCCTGGTTGGTTCTCAGCTAACAGAGCAGCTCTAAGGACCCCATCTACTAAAGTCTGCATGTATGAAAACCAGGAACCTCATCTACTACCCAGGTGCATCTTAAAATGGGGAAAACATGCTGATCATCAGATCAGGCAAAATAGTGGGAGGACAACATGCAAATATCAGTTATCCAGCGGGTTGGAGGCACAGTTCCTTCATCTACATTGAACACCTATCAATGACTCTTATGTAACTACAGGTAAAAGCCAGTAAATTAGAATATTTTGAAAAACTTGATTTATTTCAGTAATTGCATTCAAAAGGTGTAACTTGTGCATTATATTTATTCATTGCACAGAGACTGATGCATTCAAATGTTTATTTCATTTAATTTTGATGATTTGAAGCGGCAACAAATGAAAATCCAAAATTATTATCCTGTGAGGAGAAACCAGGAAACAATCCTTTCATTTCAACATCAACTTCCTTTGTTCTTGTTTATTTGCCTTATTTCAAGTTAATGATTTTAAAGCCTTATAAAACGACAACCTATATTACTTCACTGGATTCACTGGATTATTAAACAAAGGAAGCATCAGACTTAAAACTGTTTTTTTCCTATTGAATGGTTTTCCTTTGCCTGTGATGTTAAAGTTTAAAGATCTAATCCAGAGACGTTGTGTGTTTCAGTATCGGAGGCCTCATTCTGGATAAAACGTTGTCTAACCCCTCCATGGCCGGCATCGTGGTTTACACCCCAGTGGTCAGCGGTGAGTCCCGGCCGCTCTGAGCCATCGCCGCTAACGCCTCTCTGAACCATCGCCGCTAACGCCGCTCTGAACCATCGCCGCTAACGCCGCTCTGAGCCATCGCCGCTAACGCCGCTCTGAGCCATCGCCGCTAACGCCGCTCTGAGCCATCGCCGCTAACGCCGCTCTGAGCCATCGCCGCTAACGCCGCTCTGAGCCATCGCCGCTAACGCCTCTCTGAACCATCGCCGCTAACGCCGCTCTGAGCCATCGCCGCTAACGCCGCTCTGAGCTACAGGCTGCTACAGCTGCACCGCTTCCATCGTTTCTGCTAACGAGGCCAATTTATACTGGAAAGGAGCAAATCTATGAATTATTTTATTTTATTGTTTATCTTTTAACTCTTCACTATTATGTCATTCTTAGACATTTTTCTAAGGTCCATTTTTGGCTAAAATAGAATAAATTTTCTATAAAATGAATTAATGATTTTTCTGCAGCTGAAATAAAGTAAAATTATTGGTCTTATTCTGTTCAAAGGCCTTTATTGCAGAAATACTAAAAATAGGATTTAAATATCAACTTTAGTTCTTTTAATTTACCAGTTTGTTTTTTCTATATTAACATTAACTTTACAATTATAAAATAGTTTGTTTTTTTCCGAACAGAATGTGGAAGTCGGTTTTACCAGAGATGAAGCTGAGAGCAGGAAGCTCTTTGGTCAAAATATAATAAAAATAACCATAAACCACCTTAATGTGTTAATTAGTGGATTTAAAGCGCGACTGAAGCCTCGTTTTTCTGCCTGTTTGGATCATTAAGCCGACCTGCTGATCATCGGTTAGTGAAAATGATCTGGAGGAGCATTAATCCCTGGAAAACCCAGACTAAGCTCTGAATTACTGCCTCCATCTAATCTGAATAATCCCTCCGTTTACCGTAATGTCAGGAATAAACGTCCACATCAGTTCAGAACTTCTCAGCGCTGGTTCTGCTGGAAACCAGAGCAGAGGAGAAGTTTCCATCCAGCCTCCTCCTCTAAACTCTGTTTCTAAATGAGCTTCAGGTTTTCCTTCCAATCAGGAGGACAGAAGCAGCTCATATCGGGGAAGTTCTGATGTTTTACTTCTACACTTTTTCCTTCCACTCAACTTTCCTTGTGTTTTTAATCAGAAAGTTTAAATTATTCTGAAACTGTGAGCAGAACAAAGGTAACAGAAAGACTTCTAGTCAAAGCTCCGCCTCCTTTCCGTCAGTAAGGCGCTTCATGTCTGCTGACTCCTCCTCTCACCGCGTCAGAACCGCATAAACCTGCAGATGAATCATTTCACCGTTCTTTGAGTCTGACTGATGGAGCGTCGTGTTGCAGGTATCGGTGGAAACCTGGTGGCCATTCAGTCCAGCAGGATCTCCACCCACCTGCATTTCCACTGTGCTCCAGGAGAGGTCCCCGACGAGGCCAAGGGCTGCTACTTCCCCTGCCGTACCTTCTGCGGCTCAGGTCAGTACTGAGGTCATGTGACCAGGAAGTGGAGAGGCAGGGTCCATCTACATGTCTGACATCATTCCTCAGCTAAAGAAAAACTATCGTGTTGCTGAACCCTGACTCCTCCCCTTTAAAAAACTGATCAGCCATGAGTCACAATGGCTGCCTTTCAATAACACAGATCTGCAGAAACTAGAGCGGAGAACCCAGAGACTGAAGCCTGAGAAAAAAACTGCTTTATTATCATCATTTATTTTAACACTTTAAAGTCGAACTGAAATCATATTTAAATATCAAATCATTCTGGCTTAAACATGTTTATAAATGTTCTGTTGATCAGACCATACTGTCCATATTTCACACACACACGTTCCCACCTCCACCTGCCCCCCCGTTCCTTACCTTCTTCCATATGGCGGCATGTTGGCGCCTCAGATGTCGCTGAGATTCGTTTTGTTCTTTCCCGCCATTTTGAAGCCGCAGACCTTTGAGGGCGTCCTTCCTCCACTGTTCTCCTTCGTTGGGACTACGGGTGCCTTTCAGGGACAAACAGGAAACAACATGTAATCTATGAAGCTCAAGAAACGCTTATATTAATAATTACAAAATAATTATAAACAATGACATTTTTAATGTCCGTTCGTCAACGGCTCGTTAATTTCGTCTGGTCTTAGTTTCATTAATGAAAAACAATCTTTTTATTTTCGTCATATTTTTATTTTCTGGAAACAGTTTTTGTGCGTCATCGTCACGGGAAAAAGGGGCGTTAACAAAATATTCATCATTATATGTCCGTCATCGTCCTGGTTGACGAAATTAACATTTTGGAAATGCAACAGTTGGAAGAGTCGCTTCCCTACGACTTTAAAAAAGTTAAAGCGATTCGTTTAATTTAAGACAAATTAGAGATTAATGATGAAAATTAATCCAATTATTCTAAAGATTTGATTCAGAAATGATTTTTGATTCAAAAACCAGCTACTTATAAAAAGTAACTAGTTCTAGTTACTAGTTACTAAAAAGTAACTGAGTTAGTAACTCAGCAGTTCCTGACGGTTTTTTAGCCACATTAACTCTGCTGTTACTTTTTAATCTTAAGTGTTTTGGAAAAGTTTTAAAATCAACTATCGGTTAAATTATAGAACATAAAACGTTTTAATTAGTGAATTAATTAATTAATTGATCAAAAGGTTTAAACACCTGAAAACATTGAAAACTAATTGTCTCCATTTTGGTGTCGTTTGACTCAACAGTTCCAATAAATGATGCAGAACTTAATATTATTGCACTTTGACAGTCGTTTATAAAACTGATATTAAGCTGCAAATAAAGCTTTTCAAGCAATTTAACAAAAATAAAATGTATAAACTTTGCAGTAGAATTAAACAAGCGGTTAATTCTACTGAGAAAATATCCCAGCAGGATTGAATGATCCCAGAAAACAAAAACCAGGCAAATGAAATCATCGTAGCTCTGAAAAGTAAAGAACATGTTGATTAAAGGAGCTGAAATCATTGCAGCTTCTAATAATAAAGTCTTTATTCCTGCAGGTAACGAAACATTCAGGCCTCTGGAGGAAAGCTGGTAATCAATCTGCTGCATCGCCTCAACGATCTACTTCAGATTTTAGAGTAGATTGTAGTTTATTTTATGCCGATCTATAGTTTGAATGAGGGATGCAGAAACTTTCTATTAAACCAAAGTGGGACAAACTGAGAATAATCTGACAGGCAGCGTTTGTTCAGCAGCCGTGGCTGAAAATCCTGCTAATGGGAAACATGGCCGCTCCCTCCATCTGCTCGTCATTCTTCTTCTTTGCTTCCATTTGTTACTAAATGTTAAAGTTGGAAAAATCAGGAACTTTTTTATTGTTTAAATAGAGGCCGTCTCTAAGAATCAGACTAAAAATATCAGCAGAGAATATCAGGAAGTGGGTTAAAATAATCGGTATCGACGTTGGCCTTAAAAACCCTGCATCAGTCGATCTCTGAGGGAAATGATCTGAAGAACGGATTAAAAAATACAAATATTTGTGTTATTGATCTTATAGGTTCATTTATTTAATGATTTAAGAGCAAAAATTATTTTAGAATTTATAATGCTGTTTAGTCGATTAATTTAACGATGCATTTAAATGGAGTCCCGCTGTTGATATTTTTCTGTGGTCCATAAAGTTATGGCGGCGGCGGCTGGACGGCTCTGCCGTGTTCCGCCTCCGGCGAGCTTTAACCATCCTTCTCTTCCTCGGCCAGGAGCCAATCATCGCTCGGCGCAGGTGCTGCTGCTCCTGGCGATCCCCGGCCACCTGATCTTCCTCTGCACCATCCACCTGATGAAGAGCGGCCACACCACCCTCACCCCCATCTTCATGTCCGTCTACCTGGCTGCCGCTCTGCTGCAGGTGAGCTCATTAAGTGTCTTTAGTTTCTTTCAGAAATGTTGGGATCCTGAACCTAAATGGTTGCTAACCGATCTGAAGGGATTTCTCTTCTTTTAGTTTTCTCTAATTCAGCCAATTAACGACGAATGAGTTCCTTTCCTTCCCCTGATCTGCTGCAGGTTACCAGGAGTCTGCTGGACCCCTGACTCTAAATGCTGATCAGGCTGCAGAATAGAGCTGCGTTCAGGATCGAGCTGCGTTCAGAATAGAGCTGCGTTCAGAATAGAGCTGCGTTCAGGATCGAGCTGCGTTCAGGATAGAGCTGCGTTCGGAATAGAGTTACGTTCAGGATCGAGCTGCGTTCAGAATAGAGCTGCGTTCAGAATAGAGCTGCGTTCAGGATCGAGCTGCGTTCAGGATCGAGCTGCGTTCAGGATAGAGCTGCGTTCGGAATAGAGTTACGTTCAGGATCGAGCTGCGTTCAGAATAGAGCTGCGTTCAGAATAGAGGTGCGTTCAGGATAGAGGTGCGTTCAGGATAGAGGTGCGTTCAGGATAGAGGTGCGTTCAGGATAGAGGTGCGTTCAGGATAGAGGTGCGTTCAGGATAGAGGTGCATTCTGGATAGAGGTGCATTCAGGATAGAGGTGCGTTCAGAATAGAGCTGCGTTCAGAATAGAGCTGCGTTCAGGATCGAGCTGCGTTCAGGATCGAGCTGCGTTCAGAATAGAGTTACGTTCAGGATCGAGCTGCGTTCAGAATAGAGCTGCGTTCAGAATAGAGGTGCGTTCAGGATAGAGGTGCGTTCAGGATAGAGGTGCGTTCAGGGTAGAGGTGCGTTCAGGGTAGAGGTGCGTTCAGGATAGAGGTGCGTTCAGGATAGAGGTGCGTTCAGGATAGAGGTGCGTTCAGGATAGAGGTGCGTTCAGGATAGAGGTGCGTTCAGGATAGAGGTGCGTTCAGGGTAGAGGTGCGTTCAGGATAGAGCTGCGTTCAGGGTAGAGGTGCGTTCAGGATAGAGGTGCGTTCAGGATAGAGGTGCGTTCAGGGTAGAGGTGCGTTCAGAATAGAGCTGCGTTCAGAATAGAGCTGCGTTCAGGATCGAGCTGCGTTCAGGATCGAGCTGCGTTCAGAATAGAGTTACGTTCAGGATCGAGCTGCGTTCAGAATAGAGCTGCGTTCAGAATAGAGGTGCGTTCAGGATAGAGGTGCGTTCAGGGTAGAGGTGCGTTCAGGGTAGAGGTGCGTTCAGGATAGAGGTGCGTTCAGGATAGAGGTGCGTTCAGGATAGAGGTGCGTTCAGGATAGAGGTGCGTTCAGGATAGAGGTGCGTTCAGGATAGAGGTGCGTTCAGGGTAGAGGTGCGTTCAGGATAGAGGTGCGTTCAGGATAGAGGTGCATTCAGGATAGAGGTGCGTTCAGGATAGAGGTGCGTTCAGAATAGAGCTGCGTTCAGAATAGAGGTGCGTTCAGGATAGAGGTGCGTTCAGGATAGAGGTGCGTTCAGGATAGAGGTGCGTTCAGGATAGAGGTGCGTTCAGGATAGAGGTGCGTTCAGGATAGAGGTGCGTTCAGGATAGAGGTGCGTTCAGGGTAGAGGTGCGTTCAGGATAGAGCTGCGTTCAGAATAGAGGTGCGTTCAGGATAGAGGTGCGTTCAGGGTAGAGGTGCGTTCAGGATAGAGGTGCGTTCAGGATCGAGCTGCGTTCAGGATAGAGGTGCGTTCAGGATAGAGGTGCGTTCAGGATAGAGGTGCGTTCAGGATAGAGGTGCATTCTGGATAGAGGTGCGTTCAGGATAGAGGTGCGTTCAGGATAGAGGTGCATTCTGGATAGAGGTGCATTCAGGATAGAGGTGCGTTAAGGATAGAGGTGCGTTAAGGATAGAGGTGCGTTAAGGATAGAGGTGCGTTCAGGGTAGAGCTACGTTCAGGGTAGAGCTACGTTCAGGGTAGAGGTGCGTTCAGGGTAGAGGTGCGTTCAGGGTAGAGCTGCGTTCAGGGTAGAGGTGCGTTCAGGGTAGAGGTGCGTTCAGGGTAGAGGTGCGTTCAGGGTAGAGCTGCGTTCAGGGTAGAGGTGCGTTCAGGGTAGAGGTGCGTTCAGGGTAGAGGTGCGTTCAGGGTAGAGGTGCGTTCAGGGTAGAGCTGCGTTCAGGGTAGAGCTGCGTTCAGGGTAGAGCTGCGTTCAGGGTAGAGCTGCGTTCAGGATAGAGGTGCGTTCAGGATAGAGCTGCGTTCAGGGTAGAGCTGCGTTCAGGGTAGAGCTGCGTTCAGGGTAGAGCTGCGTTCAGGGTAGAGGTGCGTTCAGGATAGAGGTGCGTTCAGGGTAGAGCTGCGTTCAGGGTAGAGCTGCGTTCAGGGTAGAGCTGCGTTCAGGGTAGAGCTGCGTTCAGGGTAGAGCTGCGTTCAGGGTAGAGCTGCGTTCAGGGTAGAGGTGCGTTCAGGATAGAGGTGCGTTCAGGGTAGAGCTGCGTTCAGGGTAGAGCTGCGTTCAGGGTAGAGGTGCGTTCAGGATAGAGGTGCGTTCAGGGTAGAGCTGCGTTCAGGGTAGAGGTGCGTTCAGGGTAGAGCTGCGTTCAGGGTAGAGCTGCGTTCAGGGTAGAGCTGCGTTCAGGGTAGAGGTGCGTTCAGGGTAGAGGTGCGTTCAGGGTAGAGGTGCGTTCAGGATAGAGGTGCGTTCAGGGTAGAGGTGCGTTCAGGGTAGAGGTGCGTTCAGGATAGAGGTGCGTTCAGAATAGAGCTGCGTTCAGGGTAGAGCTGCGTTCAGGGTAGAGCTGCGTTCAGGGTAGAGCTGCGTTCAGGGTAGAGCTGCGTTCAGGGTAGAGCTGCGTTCAGGGTAGAGGTGCGTTCAGGGTAGAGGTGCGTTCAGGATAGAGGTGCGTTCAGGGTAGAGGTGCGTTCAGGATAGAGGTGCGTTCAGGATAGAGGTGCGTTCAGGATAGAGGTGCGTTCAGGATAGAGGTGCGTTCAGGATAGAGGTGCGTTCAGGATAGAGGTGCGTTCAGGATAGAGGTGCGTTCAGGATAGAGGTGCGTTCAGGATAGAGGTGCGTTCAGGGTAGAGGTGCGTTCAGGGTAGAGGTGCGTTCAGGATAGAGGTGCGTTCAGGATAGAGGTGCGTTCAGGATAGAGGTGCGTTCAGGATAGAGGTGCGTTCAGGATCGAGGTGCGTTCAGGATAGAGGTGCGTTCAGGGTAGAGCTGCGTTCAGGGTAGAGCTGCGTTCAGGGTAGAGCTGCGTTCAGGATAGAGCTGCGTTCAGAATAGAGGTGCGTTCAGGATAGAGGTGCGTTCAGGGTAGAGGTGCGTTCAGGATAGAGGTGCGTTCAGGGTAGAGGTGCGTTCAGGGTAGAGGTGCGTTCAGGGTAGAGGTGCGTTCAGGGTAGAGGTGCGTTAAGGGTAGAGGTGCGTTCAGGGTAGAGGTGCGTTAAGGGTAGAGGTGCGTTCAGGATAGAGGTGCGTTCAGAATAGAGCTGCGTTCAGGATCGAGCTGCGTTCAGGGTAGAGGTGCGTTCAGGATAGAGCTGCGTTCAGGGTAGAGCTGCGTTCAGGGTAGAGCTGCGTTCAGGGTAGAGGTGCGTTCAGGATAGAGGTGCGTTCAGGGTAGAGGTGCGTTCAGGGTAGAGCTACGTTCAGGGTAGAGGTGCGTTCAGGGTAGAGGTGCGTTCAGGGTAGAGGTGCGTTCAGGGTAGAGGTGCGTTCAGGGTAGAGCTGCGTTCAGGGTAGAGCTGCGTTCAGGGTAGAGCTGCGTTCAGGATCGAGCTGCGTTCAGGATCGAGCTGCGTTCAGGATAGAGGTGCGTTCAGGATAGAGGTGCGTTCAGGGTAGAGCTGCGTTCAGGATAGAGGTGCGTTCAGGGTAGAGGTGCGTTCAGGGTAGAGGTGCGTTCAGGGTAGAGGTGCGTTCAGGGTAGAGGTGCGTTCAGGGTAGAGCTGCGTTCAGGGTAGAGCTGCGTTCAGGATCGAGCTGCGTTCAGGATCGAGCTGCGTTCAGGGTAGAGGTGCGTTCAGGGTAGAGGTGCGTTCAGGATAGAGCTGCGTTCAGGATCGAGCTGCGTTCAGGGTAGAGGTGCGTTCAGGGTAGAGGTGCGTTCAGGGTAGAGCTGCGTTCAGGGTAGAGGTGCGTTCAGAGTAGAGGTGCGTTCAGGGTAGAGGTGCGTTCAGGGTAGAGCTGCGTTCAGGGTAGAGCTGCGTTCAGGGTAGAGCTGCGTTCAGGGTAGAGCTGCGTTCAGAATAGAGCTGCGTTCAGAATAGAGCTGCGTTCAGGGTAGAGCCGCGTTCAGGGTAGAGCCGCGTTCAGAGTAGAGCCGCGTTCAGAGTAGAGCCGCGTTCAGGATAGAGCCGCGTTCAGGATAGAGCCGCGTTCAGAGTAGAGCCGCGTTCAGGATAGAGCCGCGTTCAGGATCGAGCTGCGTTCAGGATCGAGCTGCGTTCAGGATCGAGGTGCGTTCAGAATAGAGCTGCGTTCAGGATCGAGGTGCGTTCAGAATAGAGCTGCGTTCAGGGTAGAGGTGCGTTCAGGGTAGAGGTGCGTTCAGGGTAGAGGCGCGTTCAGGGTAGAGGCGCGTTCAGGGTAGAGGTGCTTTCAGGGTAGAGGTGCGTTCAGGGTAGAGGTGCGTTCAGGGTAGAGGTGCGTTCAGGATAGAGGTGCGTTCAGAATAGAGCTGCGTTCAGAATAGAGCTGCGTTCAGAATAGAGCTGCGTTCAGGGTAGAGCTGCGTTCAGGGTAGAGCTGCGTTCAGGGTAGAGCTGCGTTCAGGGTAGAGCTGCGTTCAGGATAGAGCTGCGTTCAGGATCGAGCTGCGTTCAGGATCGAGCTGCGTTCAGGATCGAGGTGCGTTCAGGATCGAGGTGCGTTCAGAATAGAGCTGCGTTCAGGATCGAGGTGCGTTCAGAATAGAGCTGCGTTCAGGGTAGAGGTGCGTTCAGGGTAGAGGTGCGTTCAGGGTAGAGGTGCGTTCAGGGTAGAGGTGCTTTCAGGGTAGAGGTGCGTTCAGAGTAGAGCTGCGTTCAGGATAGAGCTGCGTTCAGGATAGAGCTGCGTTCAGAGTAGAGCTGCGTTCAGGATAGAGCTGCGTTCAGGATCGAGCTGCGTTCAGGATCGAGCTGCGTTCAGGATCGAGGTGCGTTCAGAATAGAGCTGCGTTCAGGATCGAGGTGCGTTCAGAATAGAGCTGCGTTCAGGGTAGAGGTGCGTTCAGGGTAGAGGTGCGTTCAGGGTAGAGGTGCGTTCAGGGTAGAGGTGCGTTCAGGGTAGAGTTGCTTTCAGGGTAGAGGTGCGTTCAGGGTAGAGGTGCGTTCAGGGTAGAGGTGCGTTCAGGATAGAGGTGCGTTCAGAATAGAGCTGCGTTCAGAATAGAGCTGCGTTCAGAATAGAGCTGCGTTCAGGGTAGAGCTGCGTTCAGGGTAGAGCTGCGTTCAGGGTAGAGCTGCGTTCAGGGTAGAGCTGCGTTCAGGATAGAGCTGCGTTCAGGTCCACCATTGGTGCTGGAGCATCTGCAGACTGAAAGAGAACGTTTGACTGTGCAGCCTTTAGAAAAAAACTAAACTATTATCGATCAGTTTCCTTCCTCACATCCAGGAGCTGATTCTGCTTCAGACAAACAGGATTAGGATTAGGATTAGCCTGTTTCTAGATTGATCTAAAGCAGAGGCCAGTTTTAGAGCTATGGGGGGAATTTGTTCCATTAATGTCTGAAGCAAAGAACACCGTTTGTAAATGGAATGAAAATAAAAATGGAGTCCAGAAAAAAAAACATCTTCATTACTTCAAAACTGATCTGTTCACCGTTCACTAAAAATAGGAACAGATTGAAGGAACGCCGTTTATGCACGCCCCAAACCCCCCCACCCCCCAATCGCCCCCACGCCAATATAATGGAAGAACGTTCCCTCCATACTGATGTCATCCTGTTTGGACTTTATGGCCGCCAGTCCGCCGCCCCTTTGCTTCTTCTGATGGTTTCTCCATGTTGGGAGGCGACATTACTGGAATTCAACACGTCTGATTTTCTGCCGACCTTAAGATTCCTGATGGGGAGGGGGTCGTTAGAAGATGATCGCCCCTGGTTACCCCCATATGCTCCACCCTGCAGGACGCACCATGAGGCTAGAACTCGCCACGATCCAAAAAACTCTCACACGACCAGAACACGACAGGAAAATTGACCTGAAAAAGGCAGAAACTAGTAAAGCGTACGCCGCCTTACAGGTCGCGTTCACTTGACCTCTGGGGGGCAGGCTTTCCTATGAGTGAGGAACAAAGTCACATTTTTATTAGTCTGTTGGACGTTAGCGAGTTTTTACATATGTTAGCGAGTATTAGCATGTTTTAGTGAGTATTAGCATGTTTTAGCGAGTATTAGCATGTTTTAGCGAGTATTAACATGTTTTAGTGAGTATTAGCATGTTTTAGTGAGTATTAGCATGTTTTAGCGAGTATTAGCATGTTTTAGCGAGTATTAGCATGTTTTAGCGAATGTTGAATTGGGCTTGAAATGAAGAGAATGAGATCTCAAAAAAACGTGAAAAGAATGCGTTTAGTAAAATTTAAGACATGAATAATAGATCAATTATAAAAAATCTTTAAAAAATCCAAAAAGTTTAATAGATAAAATAAAAATCTGAGGAAACGGCAATAACTCTTAAAGCCTTTTTTTTATGAAGAAGTTTTTTAAAGTTTCAGTTCTTTGCAGCAATAATGGAAGCAGATGGCCTCCATATTGGCCAGGGACAGTAATGCTTCCTGTCTGCATCATTACGCTCCAGGCTTCCTCCATTTCTCTTTCCTTCCTCCTCTTTGGGCCTAAAGTCGTGAATGATGTTATTTCCATGTGGATCAGCGAGGTTCTGACTCGGTGTGTGAAGCTGACGGCGCTCCGCCTCTCTTCCTCTGTTCCCAGGTGCTGCTGCTGCTCTGCATAGCAGACTGGATGGTTCATTCCATGTGGCGCAGCGGCAAAGACCCCGACAGCTTCTCCATCCCTTACCTGACCGCTCTGGGGGACCTGCTGGGAACCGCCCTGCTGGCGCTCAGCTTCTACTTCCTGTGGCTCATCGGGGACCGCGACAGCGACGTGGGGGACTGAGCGGGAGGGCGGCGGCCGGATGGACGGCGGCGCTTTGCTTCTGATGATTCAGAACTGAGTTCAGCCTTATTTTCTAATTAGCTTCAGTCTCCGAATAAAAACTGGACTTTATTGTTTACCTTTGCAGCCTTTTCTACCAAAGGGGTTTCACTTTACAAACTTTCTTCTCGTGGAGGTTGGACACGAAAAAAACGTTTTTCTGCCATTTGCTTCCATCGGCAGGTTGAACCTGGATGAGCAGCAAACCTTAAAGCAGGAACCAGGAACTGAACCAAACCCAGAATAGAATCCAGGAACCCAGAACTGAACCAAACCCAGAATAGAATCCAGGAACCCAGAACTGAACCAAACCCAGAATAGAATCCAGGAACCCAGAACTGAACCAAACCCAGAATAGAATCCAGGAACCCAGAACTGAACCAAACCCAGAATAGAATCCAGGAACACAGAACCAAACCAGAACCAAATGGGTCGGCCTGTTTCCCCTCAAACATCTTAACATCAGTTAAAACCTGAAAGATTTCTTTTATTTCTTATTGGGTCGGTTCCTGCGGC